ATGAATTTCTGGACAAATTTTGCATGGCTTAAATTATGACAAACAATAAAAGAAGGTCAGAAGATCTCAGGTTTTATCTTATATTTGCATCAATTATTATATTAAGCATAATTTTGATAGTTTCAAATATCATCAATGTGTGACATGTATCTTTTGTTGTAATCATTAAATATTGATGTTCAAATAGTGTTCATATTATGAGGAAATAAGATGTTTTATTAGAAATATGTTCTTCTTCCTGATCACCTTTCTATCTTGGTTCAATAGCAAACCTTGCTGTTTGAAGATTTGGAGTTGTAATTTATTTCATAATGAGGATATTCTTCACCATTATCTACATTGAGCCTCAGCATCTGACATATGAACCATTTAATAGAAAAATGCATTTTCAACTTTTAATATATAAACTCAATAAAAGGCATCCATACTTACATTACAGAGTGGGAAAAGTTTGTCTATTTTGATTCTGTAAACCTTTACCCTCATTGATTTTTGTTCAAATAGAGGAGAACATTGCAGATTCCTTTACAATGAGAAAGAGATAAGGCTTAAGCTAGATGCTGTAGATTGTTGGCTCTACCATGTTGTTGACTTGAGGGTGAATTAGTTAAAATTGAGACCTGGAGTTCAAATGTCTAACTTGCCATACAATCTGGCAAGTTTTGTTTTACTTATAACTCAGGCAGCATGAAGATAATTCATACAAATATGACAATTTTAGAAAATTTTCCTCCCTTAAGTAAAGTGAGATTAAAGTTTGAAGTTAATATTTTCCAGTATGGGACGGTCTTTCAGACACGAGCAGCCCTAGTCATAGATCTAAAATTGGTATGTTAGTATTGTAGACATGTAGACAAATGTTTTATTTCATTTCTTAATTATTGATCCCTCTTGTAAGAGTCTATTAGCTTTGCTGGCCAGTCTAGTCTGTTTGTAATTAAAATATTTCTGTGGCCTGATCTTTATCTACCAAATGTTTGACTTACTTTCTTTATTTCATTTCATTTATCCTATGTCCTTAATATGCTGAACAATGAAACAAACACTTTATTATGATTCACATTTTGAAGGTGAATCTTCATTCTGATGGTTTTAATTTAATGCCAAGGACAAAACAATCGTGAACATTCTGTGATCGTTGTAACATTTAACAGGCCGGTTAAGGGAAGGGGCAATATATGTCTTAAAATTGTAACATAGAACTGTTTTAATTTATTCCAATGAATAAAAGTCTTTTATATATTATACCAATGGAATCACAGAGATTATCTTTTAGATTATTATACTGTATTCATTTCAAACATTTTTTAGCACAAACGTTAATGCATACCTTGTACGCTCATTATCATGATTCATTAATTTATCATTATTGATAAACAAGAAATTCCTGTATCTTATTGGATACAGTTAGGTTTATTATGTTACCATTATACGGGACTACTTTTCTTGAGTATTAAAATGGTTGCAATTTGCCTTATGCACACTTGCTAGGATCACACGGGTCACCCAGACATTATGGTTCACCGAGGTTTCACGGGTCAGATGTTGGCTTTGAGTGGGATGATGAATTCTCGTATTATGATGAAGGTACACTGTGTGTAGTGTCAGACTCGTGTAGCTATCTACGTTACAATGATTTTGTTCTACGAATGAATTTTTGAATAATTTTTATATCTATCTGTTTTATTATTTTTATTAAAAATCTGTGTCAAGAAATGTTTGTATGGTGCTATGTTTAACTTGATACTGATTACCCGTTTATGTAAATAATTTTGGTAAATTCTTATAGGAGCTCCACTGAGGTCAAAATACATAATTTGATCTGAAACTTTGCTTAGTTATTAGTCAAGACCTTTGTCAAATGGTACACGTTTAAAAAAAACAAAAACTTCAGTCCCTTCATGTGAAAGAACCTCAGTGGAGTAACCTTTTACTAAAAAAATAAATGAAAACAATTGTCACTATTATGTTATATAATGTTATAGCTTACATACAGTATCATTCATTAGAAATACTGGCACTGTACAATAAAACATTTAATATAGAAAGCAAGGGTCTCCATGTTATATAAGATATATGAAATATTTAGTTAGAAATTACAACAATAATACTATAGGGAAGATAAATGTTTAACAAACAATACCCATAATACACCTTTATAGTATCAGAATTATCTAAGGAACATTGGTGGAGGGATAGAAAACATGTTTTATTTTTGTTTTATTATGTTTTGTTATGCTTTTGTTTCATATACATCTTTTTATTTTATTATTCCATGCCATTATTTTTGTTGCATACATTTTTTTTGCTGTTATGTTTATACAACACTAGTCCAGTGTTAATTATTGCCAGATATTTACCAATTAGAGAGGATGACTTTAATGTTCTTACAGCCAGGTTACATTTAAACATTCAGTATGGTGAACATGATAATATTGTTAAATTGGTACATTTTGCTTGCTGTTCTTTTAAGTTCTTGTTTTTTTTATACACCTGAATGTCCATGGTTGTGCTATTGAAGTGATTTACTTTGTCTCATCCAAAATATACCTTGACACAATGTTATAATAAGTCTAATTAAATACTTACGAAAAAATAATACAAATTACATGTTAAAGGCAGAATGACTTTTTGACACAGAGTACCTGTCTCTGTTAATTGACAGTTAAGGCAACATTTAGATATTTCAAACTTTATTACTTTTTCCACATATGTATTTTTTGTATGTAATATCATTTTTTATGGTTTTCTTTTGTATCATTTTGGCTTTAGTAGATAAGTTTTTTGGTTCATGGTTCAAGCCTCTACACTAGTAATAATCATATGTTGTCACCTTAGTGCAGTAAAGGATTAACTCCTATTAAGTTATATAAGTAGTTTGCCCATTACTGTACTAAAGTGATGATTTGTCATCTTTTCGGAAAAATGAAAAATTGTCAATAATTCTATAGGAAATTTATACTAATTGTTATTTAATTTTAAGAAATGAAAATATAAAGATATCATTATAATGATATGAAGAATTCACTATGATGATATAAATGATATCTGAGATGAGGGAAAGTATATCATGGAGTACCTTGCTCTTCTATCATTGTTGTAACTGCATGTTGTTCTTATATTTCTTTATTCTACCAATAACTCTAATTACTGTAATCTATCAAATAAAACCATATACTTGTTAATATTTAACCCTCACCACAATAAATGTCTTAAATGCACTTGCCCATCTTTCAACCTAGACAAGACCATTATGATTTAATTTTTTATAGGGAACATTAATTTTCAAAACATGTTAAGAAAAAATAGTAAACAATGCAGACCATGATCAGATGGCATGGATGTGCTAGTTGACCTTGGTCTGCTCAGTGGTCACAATGGATAAATGTTACACTGAGGTCTTGAGGAAGTTGATGAAAGATTTTACAGTCTGGCAGCCAGTAATGTCTTCATATTAAAGTACAACTATTTATTAATAAACTTGATAAATCATCCATGTGTGTTCATGTGTACAATGCCTATGTTATCAATTCCTATGTTACATTTACAGCTGTACCTATATTAATAAACAGAGAGAAACATCTGGTTTTCCTCAACAATGATGGTGGAAAAAATTATCATATCTAAAAGTTCTTTGTCACTCTGAACCAAACAACACTACAAATAAATAAAATTTATATAAGCAAAGATCAGTATTAAAACAATTTCATCAAATCAAATTTCAAGTCTTTAAAGACATGAAGGAAACTGAAATAGAAAGCCTTAATTTTGTGTAAATGAAAAAATATGTGTTTGGTAATAATGATATTTTGAAACAAGAAAATGTCATTGTTTAATTTGTTAAATTATTTATTATTTAACTGGAGTTAATTAATAATTATATTATTAATAAACAATTCACCTTATTTGATGACATGAATTTTAATTATTTGTTTTTAAAGTTAAATTGAATTATTTTTAAATAATGACAATATAATATCTTTATTTACTTAACACAGCCAAGGTTTAAAGTGAATCATGTTATTTTATAAGACATGATGCTTTAAAGAATGGAATATTACAAATAAATGAGTTAATGCTTTATAGAGAAAGTGTCAGGAACTACATGAATATCAGATGATACATTCATTTTATTGTTTTTGTTTTTGTTTTTTTTTAATAAAACAGTTAAAATTTGAATTTTGCTATACATGTGCATGTATAATTGTCATATTTAATGTTGTGTTATTTAGGTATTTATGGTATAGTACATCAATAGACATTTAAGTTAACAGATTCTAGTATTCAATGGTATTTAAACTCACTATAATTAACCATGTGCTATGTGTCTGGGAGAAAGATGCCTGTTTATGTAAAAAAGTCTTTAAATAAGTCAAACTTTGTTTTATTGATGCTATTGATATTTATGTCCTATAAATACATGTATATTGTTTTGTAAACAGGATAAAAATGATTATGTTGTTTGTTTGGTTATGTTTATGATGGTACCTGTATTTAATATTCCATTGATGTGTTTTCACCCTGCACATCACGTAATTATATAATGACATATGAGCCGCGTCATGACAAAACCAATGTAATGCGTTTGCGACCAGCATGGATCCCGACCAGACTGCACATCGGCGCAGTCTGATCAAGATCCATGCTGTTCGCTTACAAACCCTATTACAAGTAGAGAAACTAATAGCGAACAGTGATCAGACTGCGGATGCGCAGTCTGGTCTGGATCCATTCTGGTCGCAAACGCATTACATTGGTTTTGTCATGACGTTGCTCATATATTGATCTAACATGAGAATGTAGTAATGTTATCTGACCAGATTTAGTACATATATATTATATTTATAATCACTGTTCTAGCTGTCTGATTACCACTTCACTGTCACTTTATAACACAACTTTTTTGTTACATTATTTTATGTTTTCACTGTTATATATAGAGCAGCTATAGTTTTGTACTAACACGTTAGTTCTTGTTTATGACGACGATCGTCGTACAGATGATGACCAGGAACCAGACACAGATTCTATTGATATCTCGCTGGGAACCATGCAGCCACAACATAAGATGCCGCACGTGGAGATGGTGGCGCCGGCTCATACTGCTGAGGATAAACCACCAGGTGAGTACAGTTATAAGTAGGTAGTGTTTGATTATAATATAACTTTAAATTACATAGCAGTCTTGAAAAAAATAGAGATTAAATAGAGCTGCTTTAAATATTAAAATCTGGAATAAGGGTGATCCTTCGGAAGCATTAATCACAACATAATTACATTGTAATCATAGACTCAGTTGTAATAGATAAGCTGGTCTGTACTAGAAACCAATGTAATATTCTTATGATATTTCTGGACTAACAGAAAAGATTGTATTTCTTTCTGTTACCTTTGAGGTAAATTCCGATTTGAACCAAATGGGTTCTTATTATAACTGTTATAAAAATAGTTGTCAGAAAATAGATATACAATTGTATCATTGTTTTTGTGAAAAATAAAAATCATGATATTGCTGCATGTAACCGCAGACTTGTTTACATATTTCTTCCTAATAAACTGTAATTTATTTTGTGCACAGTTCCACAGAGAGAGTTAAGTGAGGAAGAGAAAAACACAATTTTAATGTCAGAAGGTTTCCGATCATTTTTGGATCACTCTTCACGTGTTATAGAACGTGCTCTGGATGAGGTTGATTGTGACATAGACTACAGTAGATCAGCTGAGGATGATTTAAATAATCAGTAAGTAAATGTGTCATCATTCATTCGCTAGCTAAAATGTTTATACATCACTACATGACCCTAATCTTTTCAATTTGAATTATCAGATTAGTGGATTACAATAAGAATTTCACCACAACATATTTTTAAACACCTGTCAATATTGTTTTGTATTGTCTGCTACTCAGTAGCTACAACATATAGGGATCACTTCTATGTCTGTTCACCTGTCATAAAACTTGTACAGACTAAATGTTAAAAAATCAATTGAAAATTATAAGGATCTCGTGTAATTAGAACACAATGAACAAAACTGAAGCTACCATGAATATAGAGCCTTATCAGGTTGGCCTGGCTTTATACTCGTCACTTAGATTCTGGCAAGTTAATGGTAAAATAAGTTTAGAATAGTTTAACATGAACTTTGCTTAACTTGAACAATAGACTTCCTCTATGTTTAATTTTTAATTGTTTAAGATATTTTAATATTTTTATGCTTAAAATTCAAAACTAGTATCATATTGGTCAGATCATTGGTCAGACTGAAAAGGTTTGTAGGCTGTCCTGACTGTATATTGGTGACAAACTTAAGTTTCTACGTCTAGCATTTAGATAACTCAGGTATAATTAAAGTATAATTCATAAAATAACAAAGAATAAGAGCATAAATTGTAACATATTAAATTTTGTCTGTCTTTTATAGAGAGCTTGCTGGGGAGAGATTAAAGATGAACAGAACATTTTTTGATGAGCGCTGGTCCAAACATAGAATAGTAACTAGTCTTGACTGGTCAACACAGGTATTATATTTCATAATATAAAAGTGGGTTGTATTTTTGGTAATAATGTCACAGGTTGAAAAAAATGTGCAGCCTGACTGGGACTTGAACCCGGGGCCCTCAGAATACTGTACCGCGGCTGTACAGACTATGCTATCCGGCTGCTTACACATCATCTCCCCTAAATAGTGAACAGTTCGGAACAGTGACATAAACAATGTAATTGTACAGTTCTATATAAAACTTATTAATAATAGCATTCTAGTTGTTAGCTTTACATCTTTTAACAGTGTAGAAAATCATTTATATCCTAAGTTGATTTAGTATTGAATCATTACAACATTAAAGTTCATAATTGACTTCACTTTAATATGACTCAAGCTTATGAAATAACCTTTTGTTTCGAGTGCTTACATAAAAAAGGAATTACTAAAAATAATCCACCAAACTTTAAATATGTAATTTAACTGAGTGTATTTTGATCCTAATAGGATAAAAAATTACTTGAAAATTATAACGGAAATCTAAAAATAATGTTACTGAATATTATTTTTTTGTTAAAGTTTACTGGCAACTACCTACCTATTCATACATTTATTTTACAGTTTCCGGAGTTACTAGTCGCCTCGTATAGTGCTAATGAAGATGCACCACATGACCCTGATGGTGTAGCTCTGATCTGGAACTCAAGATTTAAGAAAAATACACCAGAATATGTTTTCCATTGTCAGGTATTATCACTAGTAATTTAGACTAATCATATACCCCCTTGACTTAAATTTTAATGGCAATATTGATTATTACAATTAGGTTTAAAGTCAGTTTGTTGCATCTTATTGGATATATTTTATATAGTGTTTTATCCATACTATAAATTAACTGGTACAGTTTTATATATCTCAGTTGATATAAAATAAGCCTGTTTTGGTTTTTCAAACAATATTGAATGTCATCAACAGAAATATTACCATTTAGTTTCTATAATGTTACTTCAATAAAAAAAATTGTTCAAGGATGAATTGAAATGTGATTAATTTAATATGTACAACATAGCTACATGTATATAGAATTGTAAAAAATGTTATTTGAAATAGAATTATTTTGATAAAATATATTTTATTTAAAACTGTGTATAATTATGATATATAAAATGTTTTTATATTACAGTCAGCAGTAATGTCGAGCTGTTTTGCCAAGTTTCATCCTAACCTGGTTGTAGGTGGGACATACTCCGGTCAGATTGTGTTGTGGGACAACAGAGTACTGAAGAGAACACCAATACAAAGAACACCACTGTCAGCATCCGCACATACTGTATGTTCATTATTATATATTTACTGAAATCATTATCATTATTGATTGTGTACTGTCTCAAAACAAAAATTAAATTACAAAACATAAATGATTATTACAAAAACAGTTACAAAGACAATGTGTCAGTACACGTAAGATTTGTATATTCCAGTCATGGTATAGAAGATATACTTCTGAAGCTACTACTGAAACATCTTATACAATTTGTCCTCTATTTACTGATTCTGTAATATTTGTGTAGAAGTTAGGCAATTATTTGATTTAAACAGTTTGAAATTGGTACTGAATTCAGTTACACCTGATTTGTAACTAACAGCCCCCTAATACATGTATACATATATAACTGAAAAACTGGTACTAAACCCAACATTATTACCAAATAAAGCTAAACATTTTTGTTATATACCTTGTATATATTTCAGCACCCTGTATACTGTGTGAATGTAGTTGGTACACAAAATGCCCACAATTTAATCAGTGTATCTACAGATGGTAAAATGTGTTCCTGGAGTCTGGATATGCTGTCACAACCACAGGTATAATATATATATATATATATACATCATTAGCTGTCAGGTATTATTTATAAAAAAAATAGCTCCTATATATTATAAGTTATAAAAGTCTCTAATATAGGCTGTATGAGATAAATGTGAATAAATACGAGAAGGGAATTTGGCTGTGAACATTCTGTTACAATATGACAGCATTCCTTGTTATAAATGGACAAGGGTTCAATTTGCTGACCTCCAGATTTGTAACCAGATAATACCTCTATTGTTCCCTGTGCGAATGCCCTTATTAACTCACAATTCCTTACATCTCCATTTAATGAATTCAAAAGGGGAATGTACAGATTTTTGGTTGATTGATGATAAAAGAGAGTCCTTTGAATTTTGGCAGCTTTGTGAAAAATATTTTAATTGATGTCATACATTCTTTAGAATAGCCTCTGTGAATAACGATTTTAGTTTGTTTGAAAATGAAGTTGAGAGTGGTAACATATGAAAAATGTTTGATATAATTGTACCTGAATTTATAGGATTGTATGGAGTTACATCAACATAAACAAAGTCGAGCTGTCAATGTGACATGTTTCTCCTTCTTGTCTGGGGATGTTAATAAACCTTGTTGTAGGTAGTGAGGACTGTTCAGTATATGCTGCATGTAGACATGGCAGGTAAATATATACACATCTATATATACTAGTATTTAGGAAATAGGTATCAGTTTTGAGTGCTTTGTTGTAGAATAATAAATGGTTCTAGTTCAAATGTGTAGGAATATAAACATTAAGACCAATAGGCCTGAGAGATTGATTACAAAGCATTTGAATGATAAACTGTGCATTATTATACTTTATCACACACCCGTGCCGATTTTGCGACTCCGTAAATATGGTATTGCACGGCCGTGCATATATTTTGACGTGACGTCATTAGCGTTATACAAACATAGTGTAAAGACGCGCTAAATGTTAGCGTTATACTATAGGCGGGTCAATGAAAAATGACTCTTTTTTCACTTTAAACGGTCTTATTTTGGGTATTTGATAAATAGAATATTAAATTCGTGTAAGTTCATTACTGAATTTATTGCACTCGTTGAATAAAATAATATTATGCTCGCCAGAGGCTCGCATAATATAATTTTATTCAACTCGTGCAATAAATTCAATATTGAACTTACACTCATTCAATATCCTCTATATAATGCAAGAAAAATTAATATATCTATTTCCATTCTAACATACTTATATAAAAGAGAATGGATAAAAATATGTTGAACTACATGAGCTTGAGCATAGAATTAATTTTTCTGACATCATGTGGTTAATTGTCATCATATTTGATGTCATATGACATGTCAGCATTCAGTTTTCATGCTGTCCATATATCATGTAATAATGAACTTGACTGCCCTATCTTTTTGATAGGGAAATAGTGTGAAGCATGTTAGAATGTTTTTTTAGATAATACATTAACTGCCAGTTGATCATGTTAGTTGTTCTGTTATTTACTCATGGAATGAATTTCCTTCTAGCTAATTATAATACTTGTTTAGTTAGTATTAGACTTTAAAAATAAAAAATTTAGTGATATAATAATAAAACTCACAAAAATTATCGGCATCATTTCATAAAACACATTTTAAAAGTACTACATTAAAATTGGCAAAGAATCAAAGAAAATATGTCATTAAACTTTTTAGCAGGGACTTGTTTCAGCAGTATGTGTCAGTTCTCCTTTAGATTTTACCCTCATACAAGTTTATAAATTACCTTGTGAAATATGTTCTATGTTCTCTGTTCAATTAAGATACTGTCGCAGGTTTTAGGTGTACTGGTTGGGGACCACCAAAACCGGACAACCACCAAACCCGGACAGCCCCGAAAATGCTCAATATAGTATTTTCTTTGTTCATTTGTTGTTGGTCACTTTTTTATCAACAATAAATGCATGTTTCTTCTAAAATTAAGTAAATAATTTTATTTCAACCTCCTTAAATGGTAATATTTTAATTTCTATTTCAAAAATGTTGACGTTGAAATTTGGGGGTCAAGAAAGCAATGCCTGACCTCATATATCAGCTATAGTCATTTGCAGAGTAAACAATAGAATATCCAAAACTTAAGCATTTGTTGCTGAAATATTGTTTATCATGTTAGAGATCAAAAATCAAAAACCCAAGCTTTTATCTGAATTAAATCACGTCATGTACATATCTGTCCGGACACATGGTACTGTAACGTAGACAATTTAGGTAATTTTGATACCCTCCTTGTCGAGCCTCAGATGTAAGTGTCAATACGATCAGATTTAACAAACTAGTTTGTTAGTTAGAGGAAGAACCTAACTGAACTGTGTCCAATTTTTAGGTCTCTAGATTAAAAATTTTGAAATCTGTACGTAAAAATGTTCAAAAAGTGTCCGGTTGATGGTCCCCGACCAGTAGTGTATTTTAAAGGGATAATCACTTCATTGAATGTTTTTGTCATTCTAATATTAGATAAGTAAAAAAGGTAATTTTGATCTACCATGTTGAATATTTATGTTATATGATTGATATTTACAGTATATGAGATTTTTATGTATGTTATATGATTTTACATTTAAAGCTGGCGTAAGTGAGATATTTTTGTATGTTGTATATGATATTTACAGCTAAAGCTGCGTAAGTAAGCTGGCGTAAGTGAGATACTTTATGTATGTTATATGATATTTACAGTAAAAGCTGGCGTAAGTGAGATATTTATGTATGTTATATGATGATAAGCTTTACAGTAAAGCTGGCGTAAGTGAGAATATTCTGTATGTTTTATATGATATTTACAGTAAACTGCTGGCAGTAGCTGTGAGATATTTTATGTATGTATGTTATATGATATTTACAGTAAAGCTGGCGTAAGTGAGATATTTATGTATGTTATATGATATTTACAGTAAAGCTGGCGTAAGTGTAGATATTTATGTATGTTATATGATATTTACAGTAAAGCTGGCGTAAGTGAGATATTTATGTATGTTATATGATATTTACAGTAAAATATTTAAGCTGGCGTTAAGTGAGATATTTATGTATGTTATATGATATTTACAGTAAAGCTGGCGTAAAGTGAGATATTTATGTATGTATGTTATATTGATATTTACAGTAAAGCTGGCGTAAGTGAGATATTTATGTATGTTATATGATGATATTTACAGTAAAGCTGGCGTAAGTGAGATATTTATGTATGTTTATATGATATTTACAGTAAAGCTGGGTTATAGATATTTATGTATGTTATATGATATTACAGCTGGCGTAAGTGAGATATTTATGTATGTTATATGATATTTACAGTAAAGCTGGCGTAAGTGAGATATTTATGTATGTTATATGATATTTACAGTAAAGCTGGCGTAAGTGAGATATTTATGTATGTTATATGATATTTACAGTAAAGCTGGCGTAAGTGAGATATTTATGTATGTTATATGATATATTTAAGTGAGAGTATTTATGCAGTAAAGCTGCGTGGCGTAAGTGAGATATTATGTATGTTATATGATATTTACAGTAAAGCTGCTGGCGTAAGTGAGATATTTTTATGTATGTTATATGATATTTACAGTAAAGCTAAAGCTGGCGTAAGTGATGTATATATGATATTTACAGTAAAGCTGATATTTATGTATGTTATATGATATTTACAGTAAAGCTGGCGTAAGTGAGAGATATTTATGTATGTTATATGATATTTACAGTAAAGCTGGCGTAAGTGAGATATTTATGTATGTTATATGATGATAAGTTTTTACAGTAAAGCTGGCGTAAGTGAGATATTTATTGTATGTTTATATGATATTTACAGTAAAGCTGCGTAAGTGAGATATTTATTGTATGTTTATATGATATTTTACAGTTAAAAGCTGGCGTAAGTGAGATATTTATGTATGTTATATGATATTTACAGTAAAGCTGGCGTAAGTGAGATATTTATGTATGTTATATGATATTTACAGTAAAGCTGGCGTAAGTGAGATATTTATGTATGTTATATGATAATTTTACAGTAAAGCTGGCGTTAAGTGAGATATTTATGTATGTTATATGATATTTTCAGTAAAGCTGGCGTAAGTGAGATATTTATGTATGTTATATGATATTTACAGTAAAGCTGGTGTAAGTGAGATATTTATGTATGTTATATGATATTTACAGTAAAGCTGGTGTAAGTGAGATATTTGAAGGTCATCAAGGACCTATCACTGGTATAGACTGTCATAAGGTAGCAGGACAGTTTGATTTCTCCCCGTATTTCCTCACGTCTTCCTTTGATTGGACCATCAAACTCTGGAGTATGAAGGTACAGTAAATATTGTGTATAAGATACCAAGTAAAGTTGTAGTGCATTTATAAATTTCTGGAAGAATTTGTCACTTTCGGTGATCTTTAAATATCAAATAAGCTTTAAATGAGCCAAGATCAAACAAATTTATGAGCAAAACAGCATTCAATATGATATGCCATATACAAACAGAATGTTAACACTTTCAAAATGTGTTGCAGTATAAATGTGTCAATGAAATTATTATTCTGTTTGTTAATTAAATGATATTATGTTTGCCATTATATATTGAAAATGTGAAGCATACCAACTATTCCTTCAGCTGTTGTTTAAGATAGATATTTGATTTAATTCACAATTTGTTTATGTTTTATCATTATTAGGAAACAAGTTTTTCCCCTTCGTTTTAGGACAAAAGTGATTATGTATAATGTACAAAGGTTTACCCATACATCCCGCATTATTTTTCTAGTGTGATGGTATGGGCCAAAATAGATTATGGAACCTTAAAAGATACTGGGTTGGGTTTTTTTATATTACTTTTTATAAATGATTATATTGTTTAAACTGGCCCCAAGGTTATCAAACTTTACTCTGAGTTCTGTCTGAAATCTCAGGATTTTCATTGGTCAGTGTACTTTCAGTGACAGTTTCTGACCAATCAAATACCTGATCTTAGATAATTGTTTATAACCTGGGATCCTGGTCTAAAAGAGGATATAACTTACAGATAAAAGGTGAACAATGAATTACTTGTTGTTTCTTTTAAACTCTACAATTGTTGTTCATGCTTTGATTAGGCCGTGATGTTAGTTGCTCAAAAAAATTAGGCGCTGAATCAGCTGTAATAATGTGAATAAGCTCAAAATTGAGCTTGTCAAAATAGGTTCAATTAATTTAAACCTATACAGCATGTTACTGTTTATAATTGAACGAACATTCAACAACATGTTAACAATCTACTGTGTATGTAACGAAAATGAAAGTAACTTAACATTTCATTTAAAAGTTTATTTGAAACAATTGACAGACAACAAATTGTGAAAATGAGATTAAAGTATGTTAATTGATTTCAAACATTTTAAACCAGTGAAGCTTATTTAACCCAAGCTTTTTTGAATAAAACTTGTTCAGTCATTGCCATATAACCAAAAGTCTTAAATTTACAAATTCTTCAAGATAGAAATTTCTTCATAAATGTTCATTAGTTGTGTAAAACAGTATATGGATGATACTTGTGTATAAATGACTGTTCAATAAAAATGTAGTAGCTGAGTGGTTGCTGTTGCTGGCTACAAATTACTTAATACAACAAGGAAATTTTGATTCTTTCATGGAAGTAACTGATTAAAGATCAGTGGTTCTACTCTCGTACCCACTTGTGTCAGAAATACAGAGAGGCACTTAAGGTCTTCTTGTACCAGTAAGCTGAAGAATCACTGTATGATCTTTACACCAGTGTGTCTTCAAACCAAAACAAACAAACAAACAAAAAATCAAAGAAAATCTGGAAAAGTGGACTGGAATTCAGATACCATCAGTGGAATAGGGATACCAGTCCATTTACCACATTATTATTATGCCCCCATTTCGAAGAAAAGGGGGTATATTGCTTTGCACTTGTCGGTCCGTCGGTCCGTTGGTCCGTCGGTCCGTCGGTCCGTAGACCAAATCGTTTCCGAGTGATAACTAAAGAACCCTTAGGCCTAGGAACTTCAAACTTGGTATGGTGATTTGGTCATGACCAGTAGATGACCCCTATTGATTTTGGGGTCAAGGGGTCAAAGGTCAAGGTCACATTGACCTTGTAAGCAAAAACAGTTTCCCGATCAATAACTAAAAAACCCTTAAGGCCTAGGAACTTCAAACTTGGTATGGTGATTGGTCATGATGCATCAGTAGATGACCCCTATTGATTTTGGGATCAAGGGGTCAAAGGTCAAGGTCACATTGACCTCTTGGGTAAAACGGTTTCCAAGTGATAACTAAAAATTCTTAGGCCTAGAAACTTCAAACTTGGTATGGTGATTGGTCATGACCGTAGATGACCCCTATTGATTTTGGGGTCAAGGGGTCAAAGGTCAAGGTCACATTGACCTTGTAAACAAAAAGGGTTTCCGAATATAATTAAAAACCTTAAGGCCTAGGAACTTCAAACTTTTGGTATGGTGATTGGTCATGATCAGTAGATGACACCTATTGATTTTGGGATCAAGGGGTCAAAGGTCAAGGTCACATTGACCTCTAGGGTAAAAACGGTTTCCGAGTGATAACTAAAGAAATTCTTAGGCCTAGAAACTTCAAACTTGGTATGGTGATTGGTCATGACCAGTAGATGACCCCTATTGATTTTTGGTCAAGGGGTCAAAGGTCAAGGTCACATTGACCTTGTAAACAAAAAAAGGGTTTCCGATCAATAATAAAGAACTTAAGGCCTAGGAACTTCAAACTTGGTATGGTGATTGGTCATGTCAGTAGATGACCCCTATTGATTTTGGGGTCAAGGGGTCAAAGGTCAAGGTCACATTGACCTCTTTGGTAAAAACCGTTTCCGATCAATAACAAAAGAACCCTGAGGCCTAGGGACTTCAAAATTAATATGGTGATTGGTCATGATCAGTAGATGACCCCTATTGATTTTGGGGTCAAGGGTCAAAGGTTAAGGTCACATTGACAATCTTAGGTAAAAACTGTTTCTGATCAATACTAAAGAACCCTTAGGCCTAGGAACTTCAAACTTGGTATGGTGATTGGTCATGACCAGCAGATGACCCCTATTGATTTTGGGGTTAAGGGTCAAAGGGCAAGGTCACATTGACCTTGTAGGTAAAAATGCCTATACGATCAATAACTTAAGAACCTTAGGCCTAGGAACTTCAAACTTGGTATGGTGATTTGGTCCATGACCAGCAGATGACCCCTATTGAGTTTTGGGTCAAGGGGTCAAAGGTCAAGGTCACATTGACCTTGTAAGTAAAAACTGTTTCTGATCAATAACTTAAGAACGCTTAGGCCTAGGAACTTCAAACTTGGTATGGTGATTTTTCATGACCAGCAGATTACCCTATTGATTTTGGGATCAAAGGGGTAAAGGTCAAGGTCACATTGACCTTGTAAGTAAAAAACGGTTTCTGATCAAATAACTTAAGAATGCTTGGAACTTCAAACTTGGCATTGTTGATTGGTCTGACCAGAAGATGACCCCTATTCATTTTGGGGTCAAAGGTCAAGGTCACATTGACCTTGTATGTTAAAACGGTTTTCCGATCAATAATTAAAAGAACCCTTAGGCCTAGGAACTTCAAACTTGGCATGGTGATTGGTCATGACTAGCAGATTGACCCTATTGATTTTAGGGTCAAGGGGTCAAAGGTCAAGGTCACATTGACGTTGTAGGTAAAAACGGTCTATAACTAAAAAACGCTTAGGCCTAGGAATTCAAACTTTGTATGATGATTGGTCGTGACCAGCAGATGACCCCTATTGAATTTTGGGTCAAGGGGTCAAAGGTCAAGGTCATGACCAGTAGATACTTGATAACCCTTATTAATTGTTTGATCACTGGGTCAGAAGTCATGCATAATAACCTTATCACATGACTAATTGGCTGCTAATAGGGGGCATACATGTTTTACAAACATATCTTGTTTATATTGTATATGATTGATTTATTTGTAGGTGCCTTCAGCATCTGTCTCCATGGATACTGGTGTATCGTTGAATCATTTACGATGGCATCAGAGTGGACATACAATAGCTGTAGCAGATGATATGGGACATATTTATAATTATGATGTAGCTGAGGTAATTACTACCATTCTTCTGTATTAAATCCTTTTTAAGCTGGTCATAATAGTAAAACATATACATAGAGACATAGGTCTGTCTGCACATCAGTTTTCTCTCAACTGGTCATGTTGAATTTGACAAATTTAACTGTATCACAAATACATTGTTAACAATAAAACTGATGTTTTTCTTATTAGCTAAATTATATTATTGATCATATCATAAAGCCCCTGTGATAAGAGTGGGTAATGTTTTCAATTTTGAATTACTAACCCATCTCAAATATGAGATTTTATTCCAATTGGACTTGAGATATTTTAATGAAATAGACATTCTGGTGGCTCACAAAAGTGGGATGGGGTTGTGAATATTCTTTCTGCTCAGTCTCATTATTATTATTATTTTGTGCCTAAAATAATAAATTGAGGGGCACTTGAAGTCTTGCTCCATCAGTAAACCTACAATATTACCATATGACATTTACAGTATTGGTGTGACTGATAATACAGTCAAAACAAAATAATTATGATTATAAAGGTTTTAAGTGCTTCAGCAAATATATAAGGTTTTCTAAAATTTTAATATTTTTTGTGCTGTATTTATTAAGTTGGCATTTTAAAAGGATGTGCAAAGTGCAGTGGATTTTCTCCATTACATTATACTTGTCATAGGTAACTTTTTATCTTAATATACACATATATATTAAGGTATTTTAGAATTTCAAGTATTTTATTTCAGAAAACCATTAAAGATAAGGTATTGTAGATGGTAATTCTGCTGAAAAAGTTTTACTGTCAGTAAGTTGGTAGGTTATCAAATGTTTTGATATATTTCAGAGTTTTGCCAACCCCAAGTCAGACGAATGGTCAAGATTTATGTTAACATTACAAGAGTTGAGACAACATGCGGCAGAACGTGAAGAAGATACTAATCTTGGGGGGTTATCCTCACCTCTACGATGACATCTTTAATGTACCATACAATACTGACACTTGCTGGAAATCTTGGCATTGTTTTTCTTCAGCCTTTCTTAGTGCTTATTATTTATGACTTGAATATTAACTTTAAATTATATCATATTGAACAAATTCATTAATCTTGCCTTATTTGTTATAATTTCATAGGTGAAAGTTTCCAGAACTTTTCTTGAAACAGGATTTTCAGACATTAAAGTGCTCTATATAATACATGCATATTTGTACTCTAAATAGAATGCTAAAAACAGGATATCTTTATAACTTTATATTGAATCAATTAAGGAGAAAGTTGATAAATTTCCCACAAAGAATAATGATGATAAGTTTTCAGTCATATATAAAGATAAGATATAAAAGTATTTACTTAATTAAAAGCTTATGTATATTAATTTTTTTAAATTGAAATGGAAAGTTTTTTTAAAATTTTTTCTTAATAAAAGCTTATGTAAACAAAAATATGTTTTGGCTATGGGATTTTGATGATGTTTATTTAAAGTGCTTCATTGTGCAATAAAGGAGAAAACATATATTATGTAAACCTATGACAATAATAAACATGTGGAACTATTATTTTCTCTTATTCTTTATGAAATAAGATAACATTATATGTCAGGAGTAGCTTTGTGACAGTTCCTGTCATAAACGGAAACTTGATTATGTGTTTGTAACAGCTATACATTAGCTACTGCAGTATATTAAAGTAGAAAATAATTGTCTAGTGTACAATACATTGTTTTGTACTGACCTCAAACACTGTTAGTAGAAAATACATAATTATGATATTTTAAAATATGCCAGAGTTAGTTAAGGTCGCCGACTTCAAATAAATTGGCAATTACAATCCAATCTACAATTAAGAATTCTTTCATATGAGGAAACTATCCAGTATGCTTACTGAATATTGATGGTTCTACTCCATATGTACTCGGGTTCCCGATCCTTGTAAGTGGACACCTGAGGTCATGTCCACCAATAAAGCTGGTAAGTGGCAGTATGACAAATACTGTGTTGATGTGACTTAAAATCAAAAGAAACAAAAATGTGTGATTTGTAAGCAATATTGTGATAAATCGGAGTAAATTTAGTAATATTTACACATAAAGCATTGATATGATTAAAGTTTCCAAATGAGCCAATTATCTATCAAGTACATGTAGTTTGCTTTTTATTTTCAATTTTTTAATAAGAACAAGATTCAACATACATGTATATGTCATTGTTTGCTTTTTACACAATATTTAATTACATTTTGCAAGTTCACCATGTATGATTTTTACAGAATGAATGGCTTGGTTATTATGTGGACAAGAACTGCAATGTTACAATGTTTGATGACCACTGGCGATCTGCATACTTGTTCAATACACACTGTTCATTGTGCCATCTGAAACACAACAAATTGTAACTGTTTCAATTTTGTCATCGTAAAGGATGTGAGGAGAAATGTTTACAATCAACTACTGTTTTGAATAAAATATTTGGTAATTATTGTATTAACCACAATCAGCTGAATGTGTGTAATTGTGTGTAATACATTCCTCATGCGTTTATCTTTTCAAAGCTTCGGGGATTTCAATATCAAAACACAAAATAAGAGTTACAAATAGCATAGAGACTGGTCATACTGTCCGGATGTAAAGGTTGGACTAATAACGCTGGTAGTAAGTGCTAATGTAGTAAATGCTAATGTAGCAAATGCTAATATAGTAAATGCTTATGTTGTAAATGATAATGTAGTAAATGCTTATGATGTACAGGCTTATGTAAAAAATGCCTAAGTAGCAAATGCTAATGTAGTACATGCTATTGTAGTAAATGCTAATTTAGGAAATGCTTATGTAGGAAATGCTAATGTAGTAAATGCTTATGTAGTAAATGCTAATGTAGTAAATGCTTATGTAGGAAATGCTTATGTATTAAATGCTTATGTAGTAAATGCTAATGTAGTATATGCTAAAGTAGTAAATGCTTATGTAGGAAATGCTAATGTAGTAAATGCTAATTTAGCAAATGCTAATGTTGTAAATGCTTATGTAATAAATGCTTATGTAGTAAATGGTTATGTAGTAAATGCTGATGTAGTAAATGCTAAAGAAGTAAATGCTAATGTAGTAAATGCTTATGTAGTAAATGCTAATGTAGTAAATGCTTATGTAGTAAATGCTAATGTAGTAAATGCTTATGTAGTAAATGCTTATGTAGTAAATGCTAATGTAGTAAATGCTTATGTAGTAAATGCTAATGTAGTAAATGCTTATGTAGTAAATTGTAATCACTATTGGCTCCAGCAGGTTAAAGGTTAACACATGAGCTGTTTAATTAAATAATGTAATTATTTTAAACATGATTTATTTCATCTTGGTTAAGATGAAAGTTTACAGCTTATTCAAACCTTCCAACAACAGGTGTAATTATGATAAAACAAAGTCATGACCCTTGTGAGACAACCACATATTATAAATGTACCATATTTTACAATAACAGTTCTACTTACAAGAGGATCTTAAGCGCTTGAATTTCACAACATAAACAATAAAAGCGATCATGCCAAGTGTTCCTATAGTACCGAATGTCAAACCCAGTATCAGCGTCACATTAGTTTTTGAACTGGTTGGATTTGCTAAAAAAAGAAAAAGCAGAAAATAAATATAGTATGAATTACATATATAACACATGGTAAGAAACATCCATTTAATTAAAACTAAGATTAGAATATAAACTATTACTATGAATAAAACTGCATTTGAAAAACTAATACGAGTAAGTATATATTATTATCATTCATAGATACAAGAATATTAAAACATATTATTTTTTCTCGAGATTTCATGTGCAAATACTGTATTTTGTCTTCCCAGATTTTGCAATTCTTGTTCAATAAAACTTAATTCTCAGTTACGTACAGGTAAAATTTTCAACGGATTAAGTTCTATAACGTATGGGGCAGACTTATTTTGGATAATTTCTTGAAGTAATGTGAAAAAGGGCATTCAATCATAATTTTGATGTAAATAACTCCATTATGTGTTCTCTTATGTTTGCAAAAAAAAATCGCTATCTGACAAAATATGCGGATATCTAAGGGTGAGGTTGGTTGGAGGGTTTGGGTAAAATATAGAAATATACTAGTACATTTAGTCCTGAAGGCAACAGATGGATCAGCCAGTGCAGAAATAAACGCATGCTCGTTCACGGCAACAACTGTCATGTTGTAACTTGTGTCACTTGACAGTTTATCTAGCACATATGTCCAGGTCTGGTTGATACCATGGTTTGTATAATTATTGTATACCTTGTCGGAAAACTAAAGAAAGACGAATACAATGTTCCTTATTGTATGTTATTCAAAATGTGAAAAAAATATACTGTTTTGGACTTTAATGGGACTTTAAGCTTATGTTTACCCATAGACACATGTTTATATACGTATACGTAAGTTTGAAATAAAAAAGATTAAATACTTAAAATTAGAATCCAGTCTAATAAGTTTGATCTAACTTGAATACATTGATTTGCAATCTCACTTGTTAATATTGGTTTTAAAGTCTTTCTTGAATTTACAGTAGAACTTCTATGAGTCGAACGTCGATTAGTCGATTGTCTATTGTTTTCAAATCTTACTTTCTTATATAGGATTTTAAATTTTAATGCTTGATTACATTGATTTCGACTTTACATGTTAAGTACACCTATTCTAATTGCTATTAATACAGCGTCAGAAACTTGTGTCAAAAAATCAATTACTTGGCGTTCTCAGGAATGTTGCGAGTTCGAATACCATCTTGTGCGAAATTATTATCAGATGCATAATAACTGATTTCAATTTCTTACTTGTATATATTGATTTCCATTCATACTTGTTTATTGATTTTTAGTATTAAAATACTTGTATATATTGATTTCCACTTTGACTTGTATATCTTACTTGTATACATTGATTTCTATTTTAACTTGTATATATTGATTTCAAGTCTTACTCGTATATATTGATTTCTATTTTAACTTGTATATATTGATTTCAAGTCTTACTTGTATACATTGATTTCTATTTTAACTTGTATATATTGATTTCAAGTCTTACTTGTATATATTGATTTCTATTTTAACTTGTATATATTGATTTCAAGTCTTACTTGTATACATTGATTTCTATTTTAACTTGTATATATTGATTTCAAGTCTTACTTGTATATATTGATTTCTATTTTAACTTGTATATATTGATTTCAAGTCTTACTTGTATACATTGATTTCTATTTTAACTTGTATATATTGATTTCAAGTCTTACTTGTATACATTGATTTCTATTTTAACTTGTATATATTGATTTCAAGTCTTACTTGTATATATTGATTTCTATTTTAACTTGTATATATTGATTTCAAGTCTTACTTGTATACATTGATTTCTATTTTAACTTGTATATATTGATTTCAAGTCTTACTTGTATACATTGATTTCTATTTTAACTTGTATATATTGATTTCAAGTCTTACTTGTATATTATTGATTTCTATTTTAACTTGTATATATTGATTTCAAGTCTTACTTGTATACATTGATTTCTATTTTAACTTGTATATATTGATTTCAAGTCTTACTTGTATACATTGATTTCTATTTTAACTTGTATATACTGATTTCAAGTCTTACTTGTATATATTGATTTCCAGACAGCTCCATAACAATAAAATGTTGTCTTGAACCCATGTCAAAACCGGAAGTCCACTGTAAAGTCACACTGTCTGAAGTGACGTCAGAGATCTGTAGTTGTGTGGGCGTTTCCGGTTTACCTTCAGATATAACATGTCAAAGTTTTATTGAAGAGAAACAACTAAAGATTTGATTTCTGTAGAAACAATTATCACAATTTAAGACGTCACATGTATGAATTGTAGCTTTATCAACAACGCATGATTCTTTAACTTTACTGTAATATAAGAATGAGAGTATAGAAAGATAAATCTCCTCAGTGATAACAGCCTTAAAGACATCACATGGACGACTATTTCTGAATTAGAACTTTCGTATCATTGTATCAATGTTCAATGTATCAATCATACATGTATATCGCTTACCGTCTGCTAGTATTTGATAGTGAGCGTAATTTGTTCCTATTGCATTCGACATTTTTAAAGTATAGTTCCCAAACAAAGGTACAGAAAACAAGGGAAATGTTAAGTTTGTATCATCTAGATCCGTGTCTTGTATTGTTATATTTGATATATCTGTGCCATCATCTTTAGACCACGTGTAAGTTGCATGAGGGTTTGCCTTTGCACTCATGTTTAATTGAACGGGTTCACCGACTGTACCTACAATAATGTAATTATATCCTCCAGTCAATGGTTTAGGAGCGCCTGAAATAAAAGATCAAATCGACATTGATGTTATTGTTTATTCAATAAATTGTTAAAACTATGCATTTTATCGTTGGACAAACTGACTCAAAAAAGTATAATGTGAGTAAAGGTCTTACACGAATATAACCTCTCTAAATTTCCTGAACAGAAAAATTTCATGGATATATTGATTGCAAATTTTCTTGGTCTTGGTAGTTAAGTAAGCCTCATTGAATTTACCACTCTGGACACAGTTCAGCCACTGCATCGTTCCTGGGCAGACTGTCAAGCAGTTTACCAGTATTAGTTGCTATCACATTCAAGGACCTGTAATTTTGTACACGCCAGAGCAGAAGTACAGTGCGAATGACCATAGATTGGATTTCATGATCAATAACAACGTTCGTAAGCTGCACCTTCCAGGAATCGAACCCGGGCTCCAACGCCTTACCTATAGAACTAACCGGATGGTGTTCTTTCGATCGGGAATGCACTACTGATATACCAGCGGTACCCAGAATACGCAGTAAAAAGATCTTTTGCGATTCCCGCCACCACATTGATCCAAATATCAATTTACTTTAGAAACAATCATATTGTGTTTTGTTGTTTGCTTTATTTTGTAAAAAGATGCCAATTGTAAAAATAATAACTTACAGTAAACTGTGATGTTATGTCCCCGTGTAACATTGACACCATAATTTAACATGTTTTTCCCGGTACATTCCCAGTAACCGGAATAGTCGCACGTGACCTCTGGCGAGACTTGGGTAGAATTGTTAGGCCCAATAGCGGACTTCATACCGTAGCCCTTTTCTCTGTTGAATATAGACCAGACTGGAGGAGGGTTGCCTTGGAAATCACAAATGATAGTGAACGTATCATCCTCGATCACTTCGTATGGTTCAACATTGAAATTCTTGATTTCTGCAGGATCTAAATGATATTTTAAAGGCACATTATGCATCAGAAAGGAAAAATCTTGAGAAAGATCAAACTGTAAAATAACGGTTTTAGAACTAGTCTCACCCGAAGAAACTTTCAAAGTAGTGCTGAATGTGAAATTACTTGTCAAAATGTAGCAAAATGTAAATAAAGTAGAATTTTGACTTCTTTACAAAATACAAAATCAGTATTATTGTTCATTTGCCAAAACAACAGAAGCCAAAGATGATTCAGGTTATAGGCCAGTGAGTTACTTTTTGGAACCTAATACGGAACACCAAAAAATAAAAAATATTTTGGGAAATAAAACATAAAGCATATCGGGGCATAATGGGCCTTATAACACAGTTTTGAAAACAAACCTGTAGCTTATATTGAATTATATCATTTTCACATAACCTTTAATATATAATGTATATATATTATATGTTATTTTGGTTTTGGAGTGATATATGTGGATATATTACCTGTTAAGATTTTATATCACCCGAGCCGTTAGGCGAGGGTGATATTTTATCTTGGCAGGTAATATATCCACATATATCACTCCAAAACCAAAATAATAATTTTATTACCCTTCCCGTGCCGAGTTAAGACGATTTTAAAATAAATAATTGCTACTTCAAATGAAACGTCGAAATAAGATTCCCTTTAGGATACCTCTTCACCATAACATGACGTCACAAATACATGACGTATTATCTTTCGAACATAACGGATGTAAACAAGAGAAAAGGAGTAGTCTGTTGAACGCACTTTTTTGGAATTAATATCAAGCTTTCACAAGGTCATATTTGTTTCCTATACTGACGAGAATATGTATCATTACTCTATTTTGGTAAATATTTATCACTTGACAGTTTAAAATTGCTTGTAAATTGGAATTTATATCGCGTAAAATCAAACCGTACGCGCATCGCACGGCGCATGTTGTTTACAACGTGGGGTACCCATCGGGGAAATTTAATGTGTATATTACCCGTCTGGCTCGGTAATATCAATTTCTTTCGGGTGATCAACATCCAATCAAAAAGGCGGAAAAAATCTGGAAGGGTAATAAATGATACTTTAAATAATGAGAATGTTTCATTGCTAAGCTAATACTGCTATTATTTATTTATAATAGTTGTTTATTGATTGGTTACAGTTCTTTACAGTTTAAAGAATGGCACGACTTCAATGGCTTTAAAGCTGAACTATCATTCGTTCTGACCATAAGTTATAGCGATTTAATGTTTTGTATAGAAGACAAATACCAGTTTGTTTATATTTTGCTACCTTTATTACAAACCATTTCACGTTCAACGTCGTTTCTTCATGGAATGCTTTACATCCATTATTATCATTATAAAATTGTAAAATACAGGTTTGCGTTGTTTTCAGAGGAAAATAGTACATGTACTTAACTAGAAGGCTTAATGCGTCTCTCATTTGAATGTTTTACTTACACTGGACATCTACATTGATGACTTGAACGATTTTGTCCTCTTCATAATCTCTGTCTTGAACCGAAAATGACGTATTTAATGTGTGACATAGATAATCTCCGGAATAATTCCTTTTTATGTTGAGAATTTCTAAACGTTTTCCTTTCCTCATAAAATAATGACTCGTATCGTTTTTGGTCCAGTAAACATCAACGTCCGGAGTTTGTATTGTAACGTTACATATAACCAGCAGGTTGTCACCTTCTAGAATCTTATAAGATCGAATCCCTGGTTGATTTGTTGCCGCTTGTTGAAAAAGAAAATAAGAATCAAATAATTAACCAAGTAATATCTTTATGTTGACTATTCTGATACGCTGTATCGTTTAAAGCTGCATTTTATATATACATGTACATGTATATAGAAAATAAATATATCGCCGTATGCCTAAAAACTAAATGTTCTACAATGCCATTAATCTTTAAACAGTATTGTTGTAAATCTGGTCAAATGAGGTAGCAGACATTTACGCTTATAGAACTTATTTTGGTCGTCTTGACAACAAAATAAGAATACGATTCGATATGAAACCCATGTTGTTAACAAATTGTAGCCATTTCTGTTTTTTTAATGAAATTTAGATTTACTAAATGCAGCTATATTGTGTAAAATCGTATTCCAACGAGACTACAAGGTAGATGTGAATACATTTCACATTTTCACAATCAATAAAATTTGGTACATTCCACAGGAATAGCACACACGCATGTCAATTTCCTGCAAGACGAGAATCTGAGATAAAGGTCGGATGGAACTATTTTTTCCGTAGGAATAGGGTCACTGCCGTGTCATTAATATGCTGTTACGACATCACTACTCCAACAAAACATTTTATGAGCAAGTGAGTATATAGCAATTTATGACTTTGTAATGTTTCCTTCCACTAACGTGTTGGAACGTTTTTATTGTTTTTAGTAATTTAATATGAATAATTTAAATGATGGAACACAATATCATTATCTGCTATATGTAGATATGTAATATCAGATCATGTAACTATCTCAAACGCTGTTCAGTACCTGGACGGTTTGATCTCGCACCTTACAAAATACAATAAACAAAGTCATTGTGCAGAGGCAAAGAATTTAACAAAATTATTGAAATTATTACTTAAGTTATTCATTTCATATTTGTTGGATAAGTGTATATTGAAATCTTATACAATTGAAATACGATTTAAATTATATCAATGGTATACTTTTGAATATTTTAGTCTATTGTGATGAACTCTTGAAGTCAATAGGTTTGAACCACCTACGTGCCAATACTTTTTTCATAAGAGGAAACATGTTCGTGACCCAAGAGGGGCTTGAACCAACCACCCCTATAGGTATAGAAACGTCATCAACTATATCTACCAATGACACGTACGAAACAAAATATATGGTTTTATGACAATGTCTTCCTTTTTGTTGACTAAACAAACACCTTACATATTTGCACTTCTTGGTTAGACGTTATTTAAGATGATTTATTTTATGCTTTTCGTTGGATTACTGATTTATGCGTGAAAATTATATTTGATAATTTCACAGTGAAAATTATCAAAATATAATTTCACACTTTTCAATGACGAAACTACTTTTTTAAGATTTTCCCCATGTGGTACCTCACTTTTATTTTTGCTGATAATTCTGACAATGTCAGGCTGTTTAAAGAAAAAGCAAAGCTGAAATTGATAAATAACTTAAATTTCAAAAGTAATAAAAGGAAGAAAACTTACTTCTATTCATTCAAATTCCAATCACCAAATTTCGTCTCTAATTTTTTTTGTTTCATTTTTACAGTCTGAAAAATACATTCCTTCCCCATGCAAAACTGCTCTTGATGACATTTGGGCATATTAAAGTATCCTACGAGCAATAACTGCCGTATGCTTTATGAAAAATTGAAAAGCAATGACAGCCATCACGCGAAGAATAAGTAAAACAACCCAGCGTTCCTGAGCAAGCTTCCAAGTTTTCCATTTTCCAAGCCCCTTTTTTGAATGTTTTCACATCCGTCAACACTTATTTTTTGTCTGTTACAATCCTGAAATAAGTTTTCTTTCTTTTAAAAAGGTGTATGACTAACAAATCCAAATTATATCCCTCTGAATCTTACACAATTATTTTCCTCCCATGAAATACACAACTTTAAAAAATGGCTGCCGCTTACATTTTACAAAGCCAGGTCTAATATAAAGTCGCAGTAAGTAACAGAAATATGGATGGATGGTTGGACTTTTTCTCCTACAAGAATTGTTTGTTTTTATTATTAAAAGAAGCGATCATTCATATTTTTTTAATAAAATGAATAAATATCACCGCCATTTAACGTTGATTGGCGGACTTATTTTTTCAGCTCAAGACTTCTTGTTTTAATGAGAAATTCCGACTAAATGGGGCTCTCAATTGGGGGAAACAGATTTTAATATTAACGTTAAAATTATGGAAATTTCGTTTTAACTTATTTTTAAGCATAAAATAAAAAGAAAATTTGTTTGTTTGTTGTGTAAGATGTAATTTTATTTCATCTTACACACAAACAAACAAATATCCTCTATGTATTCATTACTCCAATATGGGGCCTTTTTGCTATTTAAATGGACATATGACGTCACTTGCAAAAGTATTGCTCGAAACGTTCAAAATAGATATAATATTGATATCACTTGCAGCATTTATTTAAAGAAGTAGATGCTATTGAATGATTACGTGATAATGTATATAAATTGTAAGTATAAAATATATTTACCACTAGATATTAGCAGCGACAATACTGTGATGAAGATCGTAACAAATATTTTATTTACATTTAATTCCAGCATATTTGTAAAATACTCTCCCCACCATTTCTATTTTATCAATATAGATGAGGGTATGTTATCAGTTTCAAGATAAAGTTTGGTACTCAATAACAACGAATAAACAAGAGTAGCAAAGATAACTGGAAGGATAATGTACTAGTTTGTTATCACTTATCATAACGGTCTGTTATCACTTATCATAACTAAACAAAGTTTAGAAAATAGACCAGTTTAGGTGAGGAGTACCTATTGTTAGCACTTCTATTTGTAAAGACCAATAAAAGTTAAAAATTTTGAAAATAATTTAATATAAACACTGAAATACATTATATTTACAATGCATTGCAATAAGATATTTGACAAAAAAGGTCAATACAAAAGTTTTTATACCATTAATCAATCTCAATATATTTAATATACTGTTCGTTGGTGTTATCATGGACTTACAGGTTTGAATTACACAACCAATCATTCCGGGGTTAAACATGATTTCAGCCGTGCCATGACAAAACCAACATAATGGGTTTGCGACCAGCATGGATTCAGACCAGCCTGTGCATCCGCGCAGTCTGACCAGGATCCATGCTGTTCGCTGAACAACCCTATTACAAGTAGAGAAACTGATAGTGAACAGCATGGATCCTGATCAGACTGCGCGGATGCACAGGCTGGATGGATCCATGCTGGTCACAAACGCACTATGTTGGTTTTGTCGTGACGCAGCTCATTTATAGATGTTACTCGGGATTATGTTTTATGAATGATGAAATATAGAGATATTGTGAATAATGTAGGGCATGGATTTCTTACAGATTTTGAAAATTTGAGTACTTTATTATTATTATAATCATTATCATAATATTATAAACTTAATATTGAACAGTTCTCTCCCTTTTTATGCAAGATTTCATTTGAAAGAGCAGACAGACATTTAAATTTAGTTAATATTATTGCACAAGACATTGCATACAAAGCATAAACATCTATGTATCAATAGAAATTGTTCTATAAGTAAATGTATTTGCACATTTTAACATAGAGACGCGTGATAATTGCTGAGATATTAATGAGTCAGATCACTAATTGTTCTTGTTGTTGTTGTTGTTGTTGTTGTCGTCGGCGGCGGCGGCTAGCTTGTTTAATAAACACCTTCCTTCATGGTATCATCTGTAACATGAAATAATAACTGTCTAGATAACATCAGTTCTATAAAAGTGATATAATTATAACTGTCATAGATTACATTCGTCCTAAATAAAGTGTAATATAAACTAATAGGAATTGGTATTTTTTGAAAAACAATTAGATCTACTGAAATTTAATAGAACAAAAAGTTTTAATTAAAAGAAATACCGGATGTTAACAAGAACTTTTAGTTTATGGAATTAAGTACAGAAAATCAATTCAGTATACATTTTTATTTCAAATATAGTATAAAGACACAAACAAATATATTTTCGATTTTTGAAAGGACAAACATGAGTTTTAAGACGTTAAAATAATGTTTTCAGAACGTGTCTGATGCTTATCACCCAGAGAATGTAGGCCTGAATTGTTTTTCATTAAAGTAGCAAAATAAAAAAGTAGTATTGTTTCCTTCATACAAGGTGATAAATAATTACAAATGTACTTATTGCCAAAAAGCGACAGAAGCAAAATATGGTTTAGATAATTTGGAAATTATGTAACATTTTGGAAACTGTAACAGGACGCTAAAAAAGGGCTTTTGAGAATTTTGTTTAAAAAAGAATGTGGGGCATGAAAGGCCTTTAAAAATACACGTTCAGTATCAGCCGAAACATTTGTATTAAATTATAACTACATGTTCGTGTTTATATGACTTGTTTGTTAGCAACAATAAAGTTCTACTCACAAGACGTTTTCAAGCGCTTGAATTTCACAACATAAACAATAAAAGCGAGCATGCCGAGGGTTCCTATAGTACCAAATGTCAAACCCAGTATCAGCGTCACATTAGTTTTGTGTGGACTTCCTGAACAAATAAACACATTGAAAATGTTGTAACACTTACGTAATGATATATAAAATTACAAAGTATTGTAAAACAAAGTATATACATAAGATACTGTTTATAATATGTCGGTACGTATCAAAATATTTTTCTTTATTTCAAAATGTTTCCAAAAGTATGAACGTCGTAGCCAATTACGTCTCATGTCTCATGTCACCGGATCCTAAATGAGCCGCGCCACGACAAAACCAACATAATGGGTTTGCGACAAGCATGGATCCATTCCAGCCTGCGCATCCGCGCAGTCTGATCAGGATCCATGCTGTTCGCTTACCAACCCTATTACAAGTAGAGAAACTGATAGCGAACAGCATGGATCCTGATGCTGATGCGCAGGCTGGTCTGGATCCATGTTGGTCGCAAACGCACTATGTTGGTTTTGTCGTGACGCGGCTATATGTTTGATGATGTTTTCACAAATTTAATGTAAATATACAAAAAGCCAAAATTTCATATGATACCTATGCATTATTATCGTGATTCACAAAACTTAATAACGTGTACATTCTATTTACGTTTGATATAATTTGTCAATAAAGGTACAAACGTTTTGTTTTAAAAGCAACAGATGGTTCAGCCAATCCAGATCTAAATCCTCGATCATTCTCGGAAATAACGGTCAGGTTGTAGTTGGTGTCACTTGTCAATTTGTTGAGCACATATGTCCAGTTCTGGTTAATGCCATGATTTGTTGAATTGTCGTATATATAGTTGGAAAACTGGAAATAAAGTCAAACATTCAGGTCGTAAATGTCCCAGTATACGTTTTACAAAAACTATGAAGATATACATGTTACTAGTATACTGGGAAAGTTAATTAAAGGTACATACATTATGCCTCAGACGGAAATAAATATTTCATTTTTAAGAAAGAGAAAACATAAGTTTTATAACGTTTTAATAATGATTTTAGAACATGTAAGTTAAGTTCGTATCATCTGGAGAAAGGAGCGCTGAATGTGAAATTATTCTTCTTGAAACTATCAGCCAGATAGCCAGTGAGTAACTTTTTGGAAGCTATATAAGTACACAAAAATAGATAAATCTTTTGAGACATAGAAACAAAAGCATTTCTGGGGCATAATTGGCCTTAAATTAGTTTGTTATTGAATTACAGTTGCTTGCAAACAATAATACCAGTATTTTATTATATATTATTACATCCTTATAATATTCAGTATTGATTTTAATTAACAGATATACCAGTAGCCTTTATAGTTGTTCTCACTAAACCTTCAATATATATGAGCCGCGTCACGACAAAACCAACATAGTGCGTTTGCGACCAGCATGGATACAGACCAGCATGCGCATCCGCGCAGTCTGATCAGGATCCATGCTGTTCGCTATCAGTTATAGGTTTTGTAAGCGAACAGCATGGATCCTGATCAGACTGCGCGGATGCGCAGGCTGGTATGGATCCATGCTGGTCGCAAACTCATTATGTTGGTTTTGTCGTGACGCGGCTCATATATTAGTTTTATATATAAAAGATAATTTCAGTCTGATTGTATATACTCAGTACATGTATTGATTTCCATCTTAACATTCAAGTCTTACTCGTATGTATTGGTTTCCAGACAGCTTCATTATAATAAAATGTTGTCTTGAACCCATGTCAAAACCGGAAGTCCACTGCAGTGTCACACTGTCCGTCGTGACGTCAGATATCCTTAAATAAGTAGGGGTCTCCGGTTCACCTTCAAACATCAAACAGATGTAATATAGTTAATTCTAACACTATCGGATTTTTTTCTATATAGACAAAGAAGGCCCGAAGCGTGCATTATTCTACAACAATGCACTCGCCGTTCTTATTACCTCCCTGTGAATTTTCACATTGAGGGCGCCATTTTGTTTAAAAAATCTGATAAATAAAAACATTTTTTGTCGAATTTTGTTGTGAAAGCTATCTAGAATGAAAGAAAATGGTCTAACTAAGAAAATGAATCCGAACACCAATATCTTTAATTCAGTCGTTAACGCTGTACAGACGTTTAAAGTGTTGTTTACGTGACGTCACAATATAGCGCCAAACAGCACGTGCAAAACAATCAAATCAAGAACGCTATTTTAATGTCGCAAACAAGTTAAGTTTCCGTTTATTTCACTTTTAAAAAATTGTATTTCGCTTGAAAAATTATAGAATGAAATAAAATAAACAAACAAAGTTTTACCAACGTTTTCAAAATTTGTTTTTCTCAAAATGTTTCTACACACGGTAGGTTTATCGACACCTTTTTTCAACCAACCGGGACAGCCTTTAAAGAACGTTTCTATGGGAAACTCTGAGGCGAAAACAAATTAAACCACCAAACATAGAGTCCAACTTTATAATAATAATTATATTTTTTCTTGACGTGTTAGAATGGAAATAGATATTAATTCTTCGTGCATTATTGTATAATAATGCACGTTTTTCGTTCAAATGCTTTGTAATTAATCACTCAGGCCTATCGGCCTTCGTGATTATATTACTACGCATTTGAACTCAAACCGTGCATTATTCTACAACAATGCACTCAGAATTGATATCTATTTCCTAAACATAAGTTGTCAGTTATATACGTTATCTGTATAAATATATTCTGTATCTATATTTCAAAGCCATAGATTAAGAATTTTAAATATTTACCAACAATACATGATTTTTAAGAACAAAATTTGTATCATAAATTATTCTTTATCATAAATTAAATGTTTTTTATATTAGTGTTTCAGCACCTTCAGAAAGTCAAAAAATGGTCGACTTATAATACTGCACATTTGTAACAACGCTTTACATTTGCTAATCGAGACGTTTTATAGTTTTATTAACGGCTGCTGTCAATTTATGAAGAAATCTAACTTGTTTCTTTAAAAAATGAAGTTTGCTGTATTATGAATCGGTTTTAAAGATTCTTGACAGTTTATATGGCCATATATAAACGGTTGTTTACAATATAACCGTTTATATATGGCCATATAATCTGTTAACTAATAATATACATTGCTCTTAAGATATACTGGTGTAACATCGACTACGGACTATGATAAAAATTCAATAAATCTTAAAATTACGTGTCCATGTATCAAACATGATTGAAATAATGTGATAAAACCACTTACCGTCTGCTTGTATTTGGTAATGAGCGTAATTGGTTCCTATTCTATTCTCCATTTTTAAAGTATAGTTGCCAAAGTAAGGTACAGAGAACATAGGAAATGTTAAATTAGTTTGATCTAAGTCATCATCTTGTATTGTAGCATTTGAAATATCTGTCCCATCATCTTTAGACCACGTGTATGTTGCATGTGGGTTTGCTTTAGCATACATGTTTGATTGGACGGGGTCACCGACTTTCCCATATAGCTGATATTGATTCTTACCATACATCGGTTTAGGAGTGCCTATTACAAAATATATTTAACAACAATTTAGTTTTTTGTTTTATATATGTATTAATTATCATTGCATTTTACATATATAGATCTACATGTACATTTTTTGAAATTGATACAAAGTTTAAAGTGTTTTTTCCTAAGTCAGTAATTAACCCTTTATCATCGTAAGATCAAGAAATGAGTACGTGCCGCTTTTGCGACTCCGTAAAAATGAATTATTAAGGTGGCTGGCTTTTGTTTCTGATCATAATTATTGTGTTGAACTGTTGATAATGATACATATCTTAATATTTCTTTTGTCAATGTCTGTGGTCTTGTTTCAAAATTAGATAATCCAGATTTTATAGACTTTGTAAAAACATTTGATGTTTTTCATTTGCTGAAACTAAATTAGATGACTTTGACCAACCTTGTTTAGATGGTTATGTCTACTTTGGTAAAAACCGTAAAAAAAATTTAAGAATAAATCTGGGGGAGTTGGGTTTTTTGTTACAAATGAACTGTCTGATAATATTCAGGTTTTAGAACTAAGTACAGAAAATTGTCTTTGGTATAAGTATAATGATTCAAATTTAATATTTTCTGTCATCTACTTTCTACCTGAAGGGTCAGTGTATTCTAATATTGAAATTTTTGACAAGATTGAAAATAATATTGTTGATATTATAACTATGTATGGTGAAATCAGCTTTGTTTTGATGGGTGATTTTAATGCTAAAACAGGTTCACTTAAAGATTATATTGAATTTGATAAATACATATTGGATACAAACTTTGATGGTATTACTAGACAACAGCTGTCTGTTGTTAACCTGTTAAATAATGGTATTACATTGGATAGATCTTCCAAAGATAGTAGTAATGTAAACAATTTTGGTAACCGTTTGATTGACTTATGCAAGTCCATAAATTTATTGATAGCTAATGGTAGATGTGGTAGTGACCTTCATGTTGGTCGAACTACTTGTAAAAATACCAGTTTAGTTGATTATGTTTTACTTTCCCCATGTGTTTTTCAAAATATTGTTGATTTTGAAATTTGAGATTTTGACCCCATTTTATCGGATATTCATAATAGCATTTCTTTTTTGGATTAAGTTTGATTCTATTTTATGTTTAACACAAAATAGTTCATGTGTCACTGGTATTCATGACAGTGGTGCTACTGTTTAAAAAACCCATATGGGATAAAGCTGTGAATAATGTGTTTAAAAATAGTTTTGATTTAGACAGTGTTTCTGTATTACAAGTAGAACTCTCAGAATTGTTGACAAGTAAAACTTATTGTGATAATACTATTAATAACTTTACTGAGAAAGTTTCTCAACTATTATATAATGCTGCTGATAGCTGTCACTTGGTTATTGATGTGAAAAATAGGCCTACTGTACAAAAAAGTACTAAAAGACGTAAGAAATCACGTAGGAAATAGTGGTTTGATGATGATTGTGAAGTAGCAAGAAGAACATACTTGTCAGATAAGAAATATTATAGAAGAAATAAGACTGATACTAACTTCCAATCAATGGTGTCTAGTGGAAAATCTTATAAAAAGATGATAAACAAGAAAATTAAGTCTTATCAAGATAATATTAATAAACGGATACTTGGGTTAAAGTCGTCAGACCCAAAAGCTTTTTGGAATTTGTTAAATAGATACTGCACGGATAGCAGGGATACTGTTAATAATATTTCAAAAGAAGTCTTTTTTGAACATTTTGTTAAATTAAATGAATCTGATCTAGATATTGACAATTTAGATGATTTAGATCTTGAGAATATAAGTTGTAATAATAGCTTCTAAAATGCAGAAATAACTATTGAGGAAATTAAAAAAGTTGTAAAAAATTAAAAAATAATAAAAATTCTGTGTTTGATAATATATTAAATGAATATCTAAAAAATGTAAATAATGAATCTGTTTTAAATGTTATTTGTTTATTGTTTAATGTTATTTTGGATTCAGGTATTTTTCCTGATATTTGGAGTCAGGGTATTATTAATCCTATATATAAAAATAAGGGTGACAAATCTGATCCCAACAATTATAGAGGGATTACCATTTTAAGTTGTTTTGGCAAATTATTTACCAATATACTAAATAAGAGACTGAATGAGTATTTGGAATGCCACAATTTACTTAACGAAGAACAAGCTGGGTTCAGATCACAATATGGTACCACTGATCATATGTTTTCCTTAAAGATGTTAATTGATTATTATTTAAGTTGTAATAAAAAGCTTTACTGTGCATTTGTTGACTATAGGAAGGCATTTGATTCTGTTAATCGACTTCATTTATGGCACAAACTTTTGTCACATAATATTGATGGTAAGTGTCTTGGTATAATCCACAATATGTACAGTAAGGCTAAATCTTGTGTTAAAGTAAACTGTGAGTTGACTAGTTTCTTTAGTAGTTTTACCGGTGTACGTCAAGGTGAAAATCTTTCACCAATTTTGTTTTCTATATTTTTGAACGATTTGTCAGAATTTGTATCTAATAAATATACAGGACTTGTAAATATCTCTAACGCAACTCGGGAATGTCTTAGTGGCGATGTCATTGATGTTTATGTTAAATTGTTTCTTTTGTTATATGCTGATGATACAGTGCTTTTAGCAGAAAGCAAAACTGATTTGCAAGATGCCATAAATGCTATGAGTGAGTACTGTAATATATGGAATCTTGTTGTAAATGAAGCTTAGACTAAAGTAGTGGTTTTTAGTAAGTCAAAACCTAAGGATGACTTTGATTTCATGTACGATGGTAAAAAGCTTGATTTGGTAGATAACTTTACTTACCTTGGAGTACTTTTTAATTATAATGGTAAATTTTTGAAATCAAAGAAAATTCTTGTTGATATTGCTAGAAGAGCAATGTTTTCTGTGATCCAAAAGTCACGTAAATTATGTTTACCAATTTCTTTGCAACTACATTTATTTAACTCTATGGTTGTACCTATCCTTCTTTATGGAAGTGAAGTTTGGGGATTCGAACAAGTTCAAATTCTAGAAAATTTCAGTTGTATTTTTGTAAATTTATTTCGAATTTAAAAGCTTCTACACCTAATTGTATGGTTTATGGTGAGTTAGGCATATTCCCATTACAAGTGAAAGCAAGGGTTTTGTGTTTCTGGAGTAAAATTATAAATGCTAAGGAAAATAAGATATGTGAACTTCTTTATAAAACAATGTTGTCTTTGTCCTCTAGGAATATTGTTAATTCTAAATTGATAAATTTTGTGAAAGAAACACTTAGTAATCTTGGCATGTCAGAATATTTTCATTTACAGAAGGTAGATAATATTAATCACTTTAAAATATTGTGAAGCTTAGACTACAAGATCAATTTTCACAAGATTGGCATAGTACTATTGATACATCCTCTAAGTGTTTAATGTATCGTACATATAAAAATACTCATTGTTTTGAAAAATATCTAGATGTACTTCCTTTTGACATAGGCAAATATTTATGTAAATTTAGAACAATGAATCACCTATTACCAATCGAAAAAGGCAGACATTTGGCAATTGATCATAATAATAGGGTCTGTTCCTTATGTCCGTATCAAGCTATTGGTGATGAATTTCACTTCTTATTTGAATGTTCGTACTTTAATGACATAAGACGTAAATCTCTTCTTCCCAGGTTTTACATTCATCCCAATATTTTTAAACTTGACACATTAATGAATAGTTGTGATAAAAATATTCTACTAAAATTATCTTTATTTTGTAAAAACATTATATTAAAATTTAGATAACTCATACTTCTCATTCTCCGTTTCCATTTGTTACAATATAAAATACATGTTGTATTGAATTCAGTACTTGAAATGAACAATATGATCTTCTTTTTGTTTATTTAGCTAGTCATAATTGTATTTTTTATATTGTGATATTAGTGATTTTTGACTGTTATTTTTCTGTTTGTTTGTTGTTATAACCAGTTGCATATGATATGCCTTGGTTTAATAAAAACTTAAGCTGAAACTGATTTATACTATTTCGTGTAAAATTATCATGTCGGCGGGTAGGAATCTTCGCATCGGCGCCCTTTATGTCTGGTGTCGTCCTGTCTTCGCCTTTCGTATTTTGAGGCCTCGAAAGTCGAAGACACCATAAATTGGCCAATAATCGTGTTTTCTTTTTCTTTTTTTATTATTTTGAGGCAATACATGACGACTCGACACATTTAGGACCCCGATACGAAGATTTTTACCCGCCGACACAATAATTCTGCAAAAGAAGATCTCGTGTCGAAGGCGAAGACACGTAGCTTCATTACTTTATTTACTGAATGAAACCATCTCCGTGTTAAATAGTCAAAGGAAATATCACCGTATATATATGCTGATTTCATTACTTAATTTATTGGACACGTTAAACAAATTCTGCAATAAACCTAAACTCATTCAATATCCTCTATGTTACAAAACAACGACCGTAACCATGACTGATGTCTTTTTTATGATAGAAACTTAATTATTGAGCTACTTACAGTAGACGGTGACATTCTGTCCTCGTGTAACATTTACACCATAGTTTAACATGTTTTTCCCGGTACATTCCCAGTAACCGGAATAGTCACACGTGACCTTAGGCGAGACCAACGTCACATTGGCTTGTCCTGTAGCTGCCATCATACCGTACCCATTATCTCGGTTAAATATAGACCAGACTGGATTTGGGTTAGCGTGGAAACCACAAGATATAGTGAACGTCTGATTTTCTACCAATTCTACCGGTTCAAGAGAGAATCCATTGATTTCTCCAGGATCTAGTATTGAAATAAAAGTAACAACGTGTTGAAGGTTATTAAGGTTTCTTTAATATTTTAAAATTTGATTTTTTCTTGAGCAGATCGCTAAATAAAGCTTTAAATAAAGCTTTAATTTGTGAGAGGCGTTTTCAAACGCAAATATTCTAAATATAGCTAGATCTTTTGTAAATATTTTTAGATGATGTATTTGAAAATTTTAGATCATGTTTTATCAGAATGATTGCCATGTGATGTGTTTCATTATTGATGAACGGGCAGCTTGAATATTTCTTAAAGACTTTTTATCAAATAACTGACTTACATTGTACATCTACATTGACGACTTGGACGGTTTTATTTACATCCGTTTCGTTGTAGTCCTGGACCGGAAATGACGTATTCAATGCGTGACATATATAATTTCCAGAATATTCTCTCTGAATATTAAGGATTTCTAAACGTTTTCCTTGTTGTATAAAATGATTATTCGTTTGGTTTTTGGTCCAGTAAACATCAAGGTCCGGACTATCCGTTACATTACAGATTACCAGCAGGTTTTCTCCTTCTAAAATCGGATAGGATCGAATCTCTGATGCTGTAGCACCTTGTTGGAAATAAAAGCAAATAGATATGTTTTTGGTACCTGCTATTCATTAAACATTCTAGATACAGATAAGTGTCAGAAGAGACAACAGCATAAAGCTCACTTCATTGACTATGGTGAATATGTATGTACATTGTATATTCCGGAAAACTAATAACTTAAAAGTAAAAAAACAACAACAACATTTATTCCCTTTGCTAAGTAATTTAAAATGTAGGGTTAGGGTTAGGAAACCCTGATCGAGAAGTATGTGTACATGTTGAACATAAAACCTCAAACATGTACGTCAGGAATTCAACTACATTTTGTATATGGATCTGTTGTCTAAATCATTATGTTACTGGAGAGGTCATCAGACCTCTCCACAGTGTTCAGACTGATTGCTGACGGCATCCATTTCTGCGTATCTGATTCTCATTTACAGCTTAAAACCAATAGGAGCAGTCTACAAAATTTGCTTTGCGCATGCTTCGTTTCAAAATACGACTTAACTTAAACGAAAAATTAACATCGAAGTGAACGAATCGGTACAAAGAAAAATAGGAAAATATCTTTTACGTTACTTAGCGCTACGTGGATGTTTCATTCCGTTTTAATCTTTTTAAACTGTATAAATCGATTACAGTATTGTTTTCTGAATAGCATTTTACTATTTCATTTTCCGATAAATAATAACAGTGACGATAAATAGTAACAGTGAACATTGAGCTTCACTATTATATGACCGAGTGAACCATGTACCGAAATTTTGCTTCTCCCGGTATGACTAAGTAACGCTACGGGGATTTTTCGGCGCAAATGGCACAATTTGACACAAGTTTGATTTTCTTAAAATATTGTGGTTGCAGCTTTATATTCTGTTTATTCCAATTAAATGATATAAAATATTTTTTATGTAAATCCTGGACTTAAAATTGTTTGATTAACATACTTTATGCCCGTTTTGGGAAATGTAGAGGAAATGTTTCCATATACTTACCAAAATATTCACCGAAAATTTGCTTATTGAATTTTACAAGCAAATTTGATACTACTTTTAATATTCATATCATTTATTTTAATTTAGTTCCCTTTGTAGAAAGAAAAAGTATCCCTAATGCGCAAAGAAAAAGTCCATTTCTCCGGCATATAATCTTTCAAAACATAAAAACTTGAAGTGTAAAACAAACTTTCATTATGAAACTATATATTCAATTTATAAAATAAATTCTATTTTGTTAAATAATTGTAATAACCATTCATTGTGTCTTTTTTCCAAATATTTTCAAATTAAACAAATCTTCTACAGCAGCAAAAAGACCTCTCGCATGCTTCTTTTTTAACAAACTTCTTTTTGAAGCAAACTTGTTTAAAACAATAAGCTGTTGTTCAAAATGCCGACAAGGACATAAAGGACGGGGTGTTCTGCTGTATTTTCTTATTTATATTACGAATTTAAGACAAATAAGATGATAAGATATGATAGAATGATGATAAGATATGATAGAATGACGTTTGTTTTATGATTTAAATAACTAATTTTCATTTACATGTATATTGTAATGTTCCCTTTTTTTGATGAGATCGTATTTCGAAAATGTAATATTTGTTCTAAAAATGTTAATATAAAATATAACTGTTAATTGTAATGAACTTTCTGTTAGCAATATATTTGTTATATAAATACAATCATAATGGAACCTGACCTATTATTATACAAAGCGATGTTTCAAAAAGAAAATACGGTAACTGAGAAGTTCATGTAAAATCAAGTAGACATAGGCGGAAATATTACAAAACAGTTCACTCAAAACTGAAACGAGTATAATATAAGGCTGTTGAGATATTTGAATGTTGCCCAGACATGTTATATATATTAATACATGTATATGATTATATGAACAAACGAGAAAATATATCAGCAGTGAATCATTGTAAATTTAAAATATATATTTACCAGCTGATGTTGACATCATCGACATCAGGATAAAGATCATTATACATATTTTGTATACATTTAATTCCAACATATTTGTTTCTGCAAGTGTTCTATTCTATATCAACATTTTAATATAGTACATATACAGTATGTACTATCATTATCAGATCTGGGGTTCATCATGTTTATTTATAAAAGGGGTGATAATTCATGTTGATACATATTATAACTTATCGTAACTAAACAAACAAATATGTCACAAGGTTTATATAGAACAGGACACTGAATATTGCTGTGTCGTGACATATTTTACTTGAACCTCTTTATTTAAGCAAAAAACGGAAACAATAATATTTCCATGAGCATGTTAAACATATGAAAGCAATGTCAGTCAGCCGGTGGGGGCGTCCGTGGCCGAGTGGTTACGGTCAAACCACATGTCTCTCACCACAGTCTGAGTCCGGCGAGGGAATTTAAATGTAGACCATGATCAGTCAACATGCCAGCTGATCAAAGTCTGCACTGACTGCATTGGAAGAATCTGTTTCCCCAAGCAGGTAAATTAAAAACAATTTGACCCCACGCCTGATAACAGGTGCGGGTACCGGGTTTTCTTATAAAATTTCAACAAGGGTTAATAGGCATCTTCCAGGGGGAGATTTGGTAGTCTACTTATTTTCCAGACAAAATGTCAAATAGTTGCATGATTTTCACTAAACTCTAAATATGGATATCAAATCATTACGCACTGAAATATTATATTTTATCCATATTCTAAAACAGAATAGTCAAATCCTCAGAGGGTATACTATAATGCTAATGTAATAATATATTAAAACTTTGATAAATATATATATTTTTACTCGCCATAGAAGAGATTGCTTCACCCACAGATTCACGTGACCCGGTCATTCTTAGACAAAAGACGGTACTGATGTTTCAGACCACTAAAGTGACGAATGAAATTACCTTAGATAATGCTGGTTTATATTATAATGTTAATAGTTAAATGTTTTCATAATGGCCTTGTTATTGGGCTGAAGAATGTCATATTAGCCTGAGACCGAATTATTTACAATTTTATCAATTAACTACGCATCAACTAAAAATGTAAATTACTTACTGAGCAAAATAATGAATGTGAAATTCCGTTGTTGTAAGGTATTGCAAATAAGATTTATGTTTTAAAAAAATTCTCGGAAACCTTCCTTGCAGCAATTCAAAATGGCGACTTTTTCAATGAAAAAAACAACCCCAACAGATTCATAATGGCGGAGCCAATCAAAATTCTCAAATCTCATAATAGCCGAGTTTTCTCATAAAGGCCGTATAGCTCAATCGGTTAGAGCGCGAGACTTGTAATCTCGACATTGTGGGTTCGATTCCCGGGCTGGCCGACTAAAATTACTAATCAGTCTTTCGGATGAGACTTTAAATTGAGGTCCCGTGTATGGGTGCTTAAACACTTGGCACGCTAAAGAACCAGGAGAAGCTTTTGGAACCGGGGCTTCTTTCTGTATCTGTAACTGCACTATCCTCCAAAAAAATAAAATGACTAAAACTCTTCTGGAGGACTTGCCCATATGGGCAACCGGTGGCGAGTATAAATAAACGCAAATACACACAAAAGGCCGTACTTTTTGCATAATAGCCTTGTTTTATTATCATAATGCCGTGCTGAACTTCATTTTAGCTTTACCTTTGAAGTGAAAACTTGTCTAATATTGAAAAATTCATTAATAAAAGATTTTAATGCCTTTATAATATTGACAAGTTCAATGTATTATGATAGTAAAAAAGTAACAAATATCTGCATTCATGCATTAATGTCGATAATTTATTTTATGCTTTTCAGTGGATTACTGATTTATCCGTGAAAATTATATTTGATAATTTCACAGTGAAAATTATCAAAATATAATTTCACTTTTTTCAATGACAAAACTACTTTTTTAAGATTTTCCCCATGTGGTACCTCAATTTTATTTTTACTGACAATTCTGACAATATCAGGCTGTTAAAAAAATAGCAAAGCTGAAATAGATAAATAACTTAAATGCCAAAAGTAATAAAGAGAGAAAACTTACTTCTATTCCTTCAAATTCCAATCACAAAATTTCGTCTCTAAATTTTTTTGTTTCGTTTTTAAAGTCTGAAAAATACATTCCTTCCCCATGCTAAACTGCTCTTTCAAGATGACATTTGGGCATATTAAAGTATCCTACGAGCAATAACTGCCGTATGCTTTATGAAAAATTGAAAAGCATTGACAGCCATCACTCGTAAAATAAGTAAAATAACCCAGCGTTCCTTACAATGCCTTAGCAAGCTTCCAAGTTTTCCATTTTCCTAGCTCCTTTTCTGAATGTTTTCACTTCTGTCAACACTTATTTTTTGTCTGTTACAATCCTCAAATAAGTTTTCTTTCTTTTAAAAAGGTGTATGACTAACAAATCCAAATTATATCCTTCTGAATCTTACACAATTATTTTCCTCCCATGAAATACACAACTTTAAAAAATGGCTGCCGCTTACATTTTACAAAGCCAGGTCTAATATAAATTCGCAGTAAGTAACAGAAATATGGATGGATGGTTGGACTTTTTCTCCTACAAGAATTGTTTGTTTTTATTATTAAAACAAGCGATCATTCATATTTTTTTTAATAAAATGAATAAATATCACCGTCATTTAACCTTGATTGGCGGACTTATTTCTCCGCTCAAGACTTCTTGTTTTTAATGAGAAATTCCCTCTGAATGGGGCTCTCTGAGGCGTTACCGTTGAACGCCTAACGTCATTTTCTTTACATGCGTCTGTTTACAAATCCTTATGAAGTTATTAATCATGCTTAAAAACTCGTTTGTTTTTCGTACAATTTTAGGAAATTTGCAATGGAACATTGTTGTTGTTGTTTATTATGTATTAGTGAAACTCTAAAACAATTTTCCTGATAAGCTGAACATTATTGCCGCACTTTGAAGTCTCAAACGTATCTGCATACGTCGAATTTTCTTACAAAATTACTCACGGGGTGGGGGAAATAAAATCACGTGTACCGAAAAATTTGAGTCGGTGACCCCCTAATTTTTTTAGTTATTTTGACTAAGTATACATTTTAAAGGACGTTTAAAGAAAAAAATCAAAAATTTATTTCAGGAATTTTTTAATAAGCCGATTTTAAGCCTAAAAATGCGGCTAAACTGAACGTCAAATTTTACACAAAATTGACAATTTTCTTTCCATTACTCAAACAATTTTCGGCGTAAAACAATAAATTTTATATCTGCTTAAAGGAAAAAATAATTTCCGTCGAATGCTGTAAAATTTAAGATATTTTATCCGCCAATGACGTTGAAATACCCGTAACAGTTTCCAAGGATACGCAACGACGTCATGCTCAAAAACGGGCGTTGATGGTCAACTTTGACGCCGTGTGTACAAAAATTGGCTGAAACTATTGAAATAAAATCAACGGAACCTAATCAGAAATATGGTCAACTTTTTGCATGCAAATTTTCAAGACGCTACTCGAAAGTTCGCAAAGTGTCGCGTTCTACCTTAATGAGAAATTCCCTCTAAATGGGGCTCTCAATGGGGGAAACAGATTTTAATATAAACGTTAAAATTATGGAAATTTCGTTTTAACTTGTTTTAAAGCATAAAATAAAAAGAAAATTTGTCTGTTTGTTGTGTAAGATGTAATTTTATTTCATCTCGTGAACTTTAAAAACAGTATTCTCACTCGTGGCTACGCCACTCGTGAGAATTCTGTTTTTAAAGCCCACTCGATGAAATAAAATTTCATCTTACACACAAACAAACAAATATCCTCTATATCTTTGGCAAAGATCTGGATATTTCTCGTTGACTTCAAGTAAGATCTTCCTGACAAAATATCATTTAATTTAAAAATTCAAACATATGATATACTTTAGTTTATTCGTTTATATAGGTCTCTTTCTCACATTACAAACATAGTACATAAAATTCATATACATTTAATGTTATACATGTGAAGCAATCAACAGGGATTTATATGAGACATATGTAATCATTATCACATATTATCTGACTATTAAAACAGATAAGAACTAGAATACTCTTGTTAAGTTGATTTAATGTTTGAATTGCAATAAAAATAAGTAGAATGTTTGGCAATATACTTAACAATGCAAATTAGACAATATCCCTTGCATGTAACATAATACAAAATTTATCATCTTCACCTATACCAACATCTTCTCGATTAAAAGTCATTAAAAAACAGATTAAACAAAACTGGAGGTAGACTACGGCCTTGACGTTATCCATATCCAGTTTTTATACTGAACCACTCGCTGTTTACATCATTTAGTCTAAAACATGACTTTACTATACAGTGATCTTAATGCATTCAACATTTTTCCTTTTATTCCATAATTAAACAATTTTTCCCAAAACTGATTTCTATCAATCATGTCATAAGCCTTTTACTATAGTCAATATATGCGCACATTTTTTTTCTTTAAAAAAAAATATTTTATTTCAAAATAAGTTTCACATACATCAGATCACGGCTTTAAATATAAGCCGTGATCAGACATGATGCTATTGGTATTTGTTAAGTCAGCATGTTTTAATGAAATATTTAATCTTTTATAGAAATATTAAGGTAGGATAATTTAACATATTTATTTCGGAGGCATAATGTGCCTTTAACGAATAACAATGTATAATTGGGCTAATGGATTTAATATTTTAATAAACTTGTCGTAACTGTGACATATAAATTATTATTTTATATATAATTAAATTTTATATTAAATATTAAATACTCACATTATATAAATTTATCAACTGTGAGCAATATTCACCACAGTTAAGATACAAATTGTTTTAAACAACATTTAGAGACATTTCATACTAAAACTTACGTCATATTTCTATAAGAACATCTTCCTATCTTTGTAACTTTTGTCATTTGTTTTGTCATTGAAATGACGGAGATAGAACATGAATAATGTTTCAAATGTTTTTATGAATTGTTCAACGAACCTTTCAAACAACTTCTTTGCAAATTCATGTATTAAAAATAAGTTTGAAAACTTCTTTTATAATAATTATGTATTACGTGTCTTGCATAGAAAATGTTTTTGTTTTTTTATGATTTATTTTTCAAATAAGTTTTTTCGAAATCGTTCACATTTAATGTTTACGGCACTTTAATGTATACGGCACTGTATATTCACAGTTAGATACAACAGTTAACATTTTTGAATAATGGCTTTCTTCTCACTGACTGTATCATCTGGAACGGAAATAAAAAATAATTACTTGATTTCTACGATATAGTCAAGTCAAGTCAAATAGTTTATTAATGTCTCTTCATACGTACAACATGATATAAAACTGTAGTTTAAAACATAATAAAATACGTATAAGTGTGATTTCTTACACGATATTGAATTATTGTTTCTTATTTTACTTATATTTGTAACATAGTTTGATTTACGTAAAAAGACATGTAATTGTATAAATGTAACAGACTTTGTTGCCAATGTCGTAATGTACCAAAGATCAGCATATTACAGGATCCACACTTTCATTGCACAATACATGACTTTTTTTATGGCATCAACTTGTTTTAAGAACTACCAAAGGTGATAAAATAAAGATAAAATAAATATAAGTGAACTCACAAGATGTTCTCATTCTTCTGTATTTCACCATATAAACTATAAAAGCAAGAAAACCGAGGGTTCCTAATGTACCAAGTAATATACCAAGTATCAGTCTCAAGTTAGTCGGGCTGTCGTTAGAAAAGACATCCGGGTAATCTGAAATTTTTTTTCCACAGTATACAATATAAAACATTATAAAACACAAACAAAGACCATTCCAAAACACGTACACTTCTTATATTATGCCACATTTTTTCTAAAACAACTACATGTATATAAAAATTGACCCTGACTTTGATATATTATAATTCTTACATATTGTGTATCATGTCCTGAGTGCACTTTCCCAACTTCTCTTATATTGTATACCTTAATATTATGATAAAGATATTTATAATTGTTAAAATTTTAAAATTTGCAACTTTAGGGTCTATATATATAGAGTTTAACAAAGGGCGTACGTTTTGTCCTGAATTTGATGGACGGTTTAGCAAAAGCTGACCAGAGTCCACGATCATTTAATGCAACTACTGTTAAGTTGTATTCGGTGTTACTGACCAATCCGTCTAATTTATATGTCCAGGTCTGATTTATACCATGGTTTGGTGAATTATCATATACAGTATCAGATACCTACAATTAAAGTTAAAATAATGTTATATATTTAACAACCACTATCTCAGAATTATCCATGCAAAATGTGATGAAATAAAGCATTACTTAGTTAAAACATTGTTTAATTAAGCTGGAGTTATTTGAATCACTTTCTAGTACATTTTCTGGAACTAACCAGTACTTTTATCGTATGAGGTCATGTGGTCGAGACCCCGGTACAGCTCGAACCTATGATACCTAGGCTGCGAGGCCATAACCGAATGCCTTAGCTTCCACCTTTCAATTTTAATTTCTAAAATGTTAACATATCATTAAAACCTGTATTATAGTAAAAACAATCTCATTAAAATCAGATCATTTTTTTCTCGCTCCGTCACTCTTCGCTAAAAGCCTACCTAGCGAAGGGTAGAGGGGCGTCAGTTAGGATATGATTTTAATTAGATTGTAATATAATTCTGTGTAATTTTGAATTATCAAATTATATTATCATACTTGAATAAATTGGTTTCCAATTAGCTTCATAACAATGAAATGTTGTCTGGAGCCCATGTCAAAACCTGACGTCCACCGTAATCTCACACTGTCATACGTTACGTCAGAGTAATGAAAATTTGTTGGTGTTTCCGGCGGACCTGATGAGACAACACAACAATTATAAAATTGATAAATCTGTCGAATACAGCTTACCGAAATAGATAAAAGAAACGTTGTTTGGTTTATTTGTTACCAAAATCTATATACGCGGAGTTTATCTAATTAATTTATTTGTTATAAACGATCGAATTTCAAAATGTGTTATGAAGAAGTACATGTACTATTTAATTAAAAAACAATGACTTTATAAGACATGAACGATAGGATGGGGTGGGGTGGGATGGGGTGGGGCAGGTGGTGGGAGTGAGCAATTTAACGCGTTACGAATTGGTGAATGTAAATAAGAATGAACTGTTCTTTATTATGTAGTTTTTGTAGTACCAGTGGCCGTGAGTAATCACTCACCATCAGCGGTTATTTGATAATGCGCAAAGTTAATTCCGTATTTATTCTCCATCTTTAACGTATACGTTCCAAAACAAGGCACAGACACTGGCGAGAACGTCAAATTTGTCTCATCCAAATAATCGTTTTGTACTGCAATTGTAGAAAGATCTGTTCCGTCATCTTTGAACCACGTGAACTTGGCACGAGGATTTGCCTGGGCAGACATCTTTAACTGTGCCGAGTGACCAACCGTTGCCTTAATTGAATATTCATTTTTACCAAACTGTGGTCTAGGTGGGCCTGAAACAAAATTATTGATTAATATTACAACCGACTTCGATGTGCATTTCGTTTAATGTTAATATTCACCAATGTGAAATTTTTTGATGAATAAAACAAACTGTCATGATCCATAATATGAACATACATGTCAGAAATAGTACATACAATATATTATACACTATAACAACATAGAATCAACGTTAACAATAAAAGACGAAACAAAGAAACAAAAACACGACAGTATAGTGATAACTTTACTATAATGATAGTTATTAAGTTATTGCTGAGGATTTAACGTATTATATAATGAAACAGTTTATTATAGAAGATACTTACAGAAAACCGTTATATTTTGCCCTCGTGTTACATTCACACCGTGATTTAATTTATTCCGCCCCGTACATTCCCAGTAACCCGTATAGTCACATATCGCAGGTGGTGAAGTCACCGTCGCAAAACCTGGCAATGTTGCAGTGATCATGGCATAACCAGTATCTCGGTTACGTATAGACCAGGTTGGATAAGGGTTTGCTTGAAAATCACACGTGATAGAGAAAGTTTCATTCTCCATCACTTCATATGGTCCACCATAAAATGTGTTAATTTCACCAGGATCTGAGAAAAAGTAATATGAGTTTAGAATAGCACATTTAATGTACAGTAGAGGGCTTTACCCTATTACCATGAATGTACAAAAGTCGTGAATCGATATTCATAATATACGTATTTAAGCTTGTACTTTAGAGAAAATTCCAAATATCATTAGACTTCAAAACAAGATTATTTAACAGATTAGATACATTTATTTTACCTGAAGAACAACCCCTTTATTCTCCGTATAATAAACGTCTCTATTCACTTAGTAAGACCTTAAGTACATTATAAGTCTACTTGCTTTAATTGAATGATTTTTGGTTTTTATTAAATTTGATTGTATCAATCTTACATTGCACATCTACTTTGATCACTTCAATGGTCTTGTTCACATCCGTTTCGTTGTAGTCCTGGACCGGAAATGACGTATTCAATGCATGACATACATAATCTCCAGAATATTTCCGCGTGATCTTGAGTATTTCCAAACGTTTACCCAGTTGCAAGAATTGGCTTTTTGTTTCATTTTTAGTCCAATAAACATCAATGTCTGGATTTTCTGTTACGTTACACATGATTAAAAGGTTGTCTCCCTCTAATATCTTATACGTCCGAATGTTTGCTGATGCTGCGACCACTATCACGGAGAAGAAAAAATGTCTTATACATATGTATATATAAACGCTACCTGTACTATAAATTACAACACTTAAAATAGCACAAACAATATTATGTAACATTGTTAAGCAAAGTAATAGGTTGTGATAAACAATTTTAGTACATCATATGAAATAATTTTACAGATATGTTTGTCTATTTGCCAGGATTCAACACTGTGCTTAAATTCTGTAAATAAAAAAAATCTTAACATAAAATATGATAATAAAATTAAACTTTAAGTGGCATTATGCCCATATTCTAATTGTCAAGTTGAGCTGAATTAACAATATATTACTATTTTAATGGTGATTGACCAACGTTTGATACTGAAAAATGTTTAGGATAAAATATGAATCGGCCTTAAATATGAAAGACTGCCCACTCTTTTATGAAAATTGATTATTACAGGTAAAATCTGATAAATGTATATAGAACTTTCCTTGGGCCGCATGTGTTTTTTATGGTCCACGACAAAGCATTTATCATAAGGTTTTACATTAAATTCATCTTTAAGACCCATTATACCCCATAATGCTTTTATTTTCGTATCTCAAAAGCTTTTTATTTTTGGTGTCCTGTTTAAGTTTACAACAAACTTCTAATTAGCGATTTATCTGAACCACTTTTTTTGTTGCTGTTACATTCTTGTTGTTAATACAGATACAGTGACTTAATATTTTGTATAGAAGTAAAAATTCTACTTTGTTTACATTTTGCTACCTTTACGACAAATTATTTCATATAACACGCTATTTTCTTCAGGTAACAAACATGCTCTAAAACCATTCCTTATAATATTTTCTAAGTTATACGTACAGTGCCTTTAACATAAGAAAATGTATGTAAAAATTAACTTACCAGCAGATATGTGTAGCAGCGACATTAAGGTGGCCAAAGTCAGGACGACATTATTTATGCTTACTTTAAACATGTTGTTACAGTTGTTCCTTTACTCAGTGTGTGTTTTATATACACAGTTTTAATATTTATAGAGCAGCTTTATCTTTACGAAGATTACAAATGATATTGAACAACAACCTAGTAAGGGAGATTACTCATGTAAGGTTAGGCTAGGCTGATAAAGCCAATATCACATGTGTATTAATTAGAACAGTAACGAATATGGTATTTTGCAATAATTTGTTAATCGGGTCAACTGGATATATTCAAACTGGATACATAATGGCATAAAAGTATACCCTACTTAAATGTTTTTTTATGAACAAAATAAAGTAATTATATCTTTTTGATTAAGTTTTCTTTATGTCCTGTTTAAATATCATAAAATCCAATTATAAGACTGTGTATAGGTAAACAGTCTAAACACTGTCAGGAATTAAGAGAAATACTAAGCCTATAATAATAATAAGAACTTTACCCCCCCCCAACCCCTCCCCCACCCAACACACACACACACACACACACCCCCGCGTTAAGGTGCAACAAGTATCTGTCTCCATAGAGAACGAACTAGCTCCAAAACTTTAAACATTTACCCCTGATAAACTTGAGATTTACTCATTTTTTCGTTTTTTTATGATATATAAAAACCCAAAATATTTGGTTTATGTACAATGGAAACCACAAAAATAGCAAAAAAACATGAAAATTTATAGTAGTATTCCAGATAATGTTATTCTAAAACGAGGAAAACTTCAACCGCCATATGAACACATCTGCGGATGTTTCTAAATTCAAAATTTTACCATTTCATGTTTAAATGTTGAATTCTGCTTAAGCCGGTGCTAGAGGGCGACGACGGTAACATGCACTTTCCATCCGTCCACGAATAGGCTCAATCAAACTGAGCCTGCAGCATTTTCAGTTTTGCCGTTTTTTGGCTTCCTTTGGGGATTATTATTTTCTCTATGTTAACGTTAACAGATATTTCATATTAAATATGTTAGAGTCGCAGCAATCTTGAAGGATTATTTAAGCCAAGACTTATAAAAAATAATGATTATATCAGGAAACGTCGCATACTGCCAAATTCCGCCAAAAACAGTAGAAAAGTAGTCCATACACACACATATTTACATTTCAATACCAGTATATATCAAAGGGCAATAACCCCCAAAACATAGAAGGCTGGGATAGCAGAGCTATTCACCCATGAAGTTTCAAGCTGGTATCTCGTTAGAGATAAGTTTTATAGGGCAAAAACCACAATATATAATGAAGTAAATAGTTATTATTCATTTGCTATTCAACGTTATAAGTGGAGATAACTGCATTCCCAGTTGGAACACTTCGATGAATATTCATAAGCATCTCGGACTTAATTACGGATTAATAATACAATGCAGTTCTTTATTTTTCGTTTCCTGTTAAAGTATCCTTCCTATTGGATATATATACAATTCTATTTTCCATATCTTTTGTAAAACCACGATGAGATGTTCTTCAACCCTTTGTGGTTACGTGATAGAGCAAATAAATTGTATAAGCCATTATGATCCTGAAGAAAATAGTTCTACCACTTGACTCTAGAAATAAAGAAAAACAAAGGGTGTAATATTTGTATAATGATTAACACCAAAAGGAAAATAAAGTCTATTTCGATAAATAAACAATCATAATTAATTTAAAAATGCCCATTGACGTACACATATATCCGCATTCTAATTAATGTCAACAGGTATACATTTTCTACAAACATAAAAATTCATGTAATATGAATAATGTACTGTTTTCTTTTATATCTATAAATTTACTTTAATTTAAGTTGACTTTTATATGATATATAGGATTAAATGTAGTCAACAACTCATTATTTGTTTTCATGTTTTGGTTTTACGGGTAGGTTTGCACCTAATATTCGTTCCTATAGTGTTCGAGGTCCTTATCTGAAGATTGATAGAAAATGCCGAAAAGTTTAGAAAAGGTCGAAAAGGTTAGAAAAGGCCAAAAAGTTTAGAAAAGGCCGTAAAGTTTTAGAAAAAAATATCATAAAGTATTATATGGTAGTTCTAAACAAAACTTGAAATGTACAGAAACACTCTTTTTGCCTTAACAGACATATCCTCTGCCATTTTGTACGTAGATAATTTGCTGGTAAAATGAACACCTTCATAATCAAATCCTTTAACAACTTCAATATTTTTTACCAGAATAGTGCCAATGCTCATGTTTAGACAACTGTCCCCATTTTGAAAAAAAAAACATAATTTTTATTTTGTCTATGTTAACAACAAGTTTATATTGATTATAAAATTCTGGAAGCTTTGAAGACCAAAAATAGTATCAGATACATATGCTATATCATCTGCGAACATAATTATAGATATTTCCAGAGTATCAGGATACAACTGAAAAAAAAACCCTTATATCATTATTTCATAACAGGTTTTTTTCCAGAAAAAAATGTCGGGCATGAAACACAACAAAGGGAATTAACTAAAAATATGAAAAGTAGAGTTATTATTTTTATATACTGCACTCCTCCTCAGTAATATATATCCACCTATGTGGCGGAGAATATTTCTATTTGCACAAAACTCCGCCATACACTGAAATTTATTTATGAGAGTTCGGTTTTAAGGATTGAACTTGTAAGTCCAATTGATGATGAATATTTAATAATTCCAAATAGAAACACATAAGACAAAATTTAGACATTCCAATAAATTAAATTCCAAGTATCATTTTCACAAAAATGCGGAAAAAAAATTATATCCAAAATATCACCACCTTATCACTAAACTCTGCTCAAAAATAATTTTAACAAAATGGATTCCCTCCAAATAACACGTGGTGTATATATAAAAATGTAGGAAAACAATATAAAAATGAAATCACGTAGAAATTATGCCTATACAAGTCGGAATATATGTATATAATAAAATTCCGGAGTAATTAACTATTTATGAAACTTTATTTACGGGTGCAACATTAACAATAACAATATTTCCCAAGTAACATTACAATAAAACAAAAATAACATCATTATTCGCGATCTTCGCGACAACCTTCATGAAATATTAAGTTGATGTCTCAATCATTTTTTTTTATTATTATAATTAAAAAAACTGAAACTGATATTCAAGTGCAATAAAACAAATTTGAAAGGTTGTTTCGGTCTTATAAAATTTTAAATTGTTACAAATTTCTATTACATTTTGAGCTATGCTCAGAACAAAAGTATTGGACGGAGACCATTACACCAGCCCCCTTTGTTCGTTAATACGAAAACGTCTGATCATTTGTTGAAAAATACTTGTACATTTATTAGAAAAACTAAGATTAGATTATTATACATGTACATGTATTTGTTGTAACTTGTAAAAGGAAATACTCCTATATCACCATGAAATAAAAATTAAACCGAAATTGTTGAACAAATGACACGACACAATAAAATACATAGCTTAAACATAAAACGTACACAATCCGTAGCTTAAACATATGACGTACACAATACAAAGCTAAAACATATAACGTACAAATTACATAGTTTAAACATATAACGTACACAATACATAGTTTAAACATATAACGTACACTATGCAAAGCTTAAACATATAAGATACACAATACATAGCTTAAACATATAACGTACATAATACATAACTTAAACATATAACGTACATAATACATAGCTTGAACATATAACCTAATTTTAATTAAAATAACATAACACTATATATTTTTCTCCTTGGTTGCCTGTATTTCATCAAATAAACAAGAAATATAACCACAGCAACTGTTCCCACTGCACTTAATGTTAACACTACAATCGTTTGTGTTTTTGTGTTATCATCATCATCCTTATTATCATCATCACCGTCATGCGATGAATTGTCACTAGCTGATTTAGCTGTAATAAAGAAAATAGTGTTACTATTTCAGTTCATGTATATAAACTGTAAACCAAATTGTAAAAATGATATTTGTGCGATAATAGTATTATTATCATGAACGATGAAATAAATATTTTGCCTTTTCATTTGAAGATCTAGAATTATTTATACAATATGGCAGAAGTCGATAACTTCATGGTCACAGTTTTATTCCAGCTATTATTTACTCGGGTCATTTTAAAACAGCATACCTCCACATTCATGACAATTTTCATAACAATTTTTGAAAATGTCTTTAAAAATTAAGTATTCTGAAGTGAACAAAGAAAGTAATTTACACATTTCAAACGGCACTAAGAATCCACGTTAGTTACATAAAGGGGTCAAAATAATAAAAAATAGCCCCTGCTGCGTTAGTCAAGCACTAGAAAAATAGTAAAAAATGCTCCAAAATCAGACATTAATCGCGCATGACTTTACTTATTAGTTGGATCCCTTAACTTTTCTAGTGATATTTGTAGATTTTTTCTTAACATTTTCTTGAAATAGTTTCACTCATCTGGAGGCATGCAGCTTTAATTAATATCATTTTTGCATGGAATAGTTCTAATATAGTTACTATCATTGGTTATTTAGAATCACTCTTAACAAACACTTGTTTAACAAGTCTTTTATCATATTGAAATTTTATCATTATATATCCTCTAATCCTAAGAAATACATGTATAATGCAAGTACGTATCTATGTTTTGTATTTCATTCAATTTACTTTGATTTTTTCAGTCGACACGTATTATACTGTAATAAAACTAAAAAGGTTAATTAGTGTGCTTTGACTGTATTCAAAGGTATGACAAGGGATATTAGATGTTATTTTTCCTTTGTATTTGTTGTTTTACAGTAAACATATAACATACAATTAATAAATTACACAAATTCATAAGTTCTGAGTTATTATAAGAAATTCTATTAAAACACTTCCTTAAAAATCCAAATAAAATGTATATTTGTCAATCCCAGCACCATCGTCGGATACCCACGATTGATAAACATGTCACATAACATGCAGATAAATGTTAATGGTTCGGCCGTGGGTATCCGACGATGTCCCAGCACATGTACTTATCATATATGTCAAACAATATGTGCTGGGATTGACAAATTTACATTTTATTTGGATTTTACGGAGTTTGGAGCTGCACACCCCAAATGTCTGCACATGTGATAAATTAAAATAGCAAATTTTATAACCAAATTTCATACGCTGTGTTTTTCATAATTTAGTTAGTTAGTGGAGTTTATCTTGTGCATAGTTACCTTGTTTCACCTGCCCGTTTGGTCGTTGGTTACGGTTGTCAACTTGCTTGGCATCTAAAATATAAAACGTAATACATGTACAGTATATAAATAATATTTATACGTCTATCAATATATCTTTATACTGATATCGTAACCGGAAGTACTATTTTTAATTGAGCCGCGTCATGACAAAACCAACATAATGGGTTTGCGACCAGCATGGATCCAGACCAGCCTGCGCATCCGCGCAGTCTGATCAGGATCCATGCTGTTCGCTTACAAATCCTTTTATAAGTAGGGAAACTGATAGCGAACAGCATGGATCCTGATCAGACTGCGCGGATGCGCAGGCTGGTCTGGATCCATGCTGGTCGCAAACCCATTATGTTGGTTTTGTCATGGCGCGGCTCAATTATGCTTAATGATAATGATAAACAATATGATATTTAATGACCGAGCATGTTAAGATAATGTTTACATTTATAACATTTTTATTAAATGATAGTAAATCATATTTCAATGGCTTAGTATAACACAGCTGCTTTAAAGATATACTATGCTTATTTTTGAGTGAATTTATTGCAATCTTTTAAATTTCTATTGAATATGTCTAATTTGAATAAAAGAATGAATAAACTATGTATGGCAAAGTTGGTCTTTCCTTAAAAACTGCCAGTTTTAACGACACTACATATTCATATTGTGACCAGCTATATAGTGTGTTGAATTTGAAATCTTCTGTGTGTAAAATCAAACATGTCTATTTTATATTTACAAAGAATCTGTGTAGCAATCATCAATATTTTCTAATATAAATTTGAGCATAATATATCTTTAAACATTTTAGAGCATTTTACAATCATGTTAATTTACAACTGACCTAGTACAACTATATGGATGACATCCACGATGGTGTCGGCTGCAGTTCCATTATAAGCCGGAAGTGACGTATCCAATGAATGACAAGTGTAATACCCCGTATTATTTTGTTTTATATGATCGAGTTTTAAATATTTTCCTGGTTTAAATGTATAACGAGTATCATTTTTAGTCCAGTAAACTGTCGCATTACTACCGTCTGATATATTACAAACTACCGATAGATTGCTCCCTTCTCGTGCCTCCATATATCGTATATGTGTATCATCTCCTACAATTTGAACAACAAAAAACATGTTTACTAAAATTTGTTGAGATAATCAAAGAGCGGCGCGTAACTGTCAAGAAGAGATAAAATAATTAGCTTCTTGCTTTTTAAAATAAGTAAGATACAATCATGAATAATGTACATATAATAAATAACTATATAAATTACTGATATTTATTACTTACCAATAACAGCACATATACAGAACGTAATTATGGCAACTAGGTAGCTGTCAACATGCCACATTTCCTGTTTCTTAGTCATTTAAATTCTTTATAATTAGCTAAACTTGTGTCAGGGTTGTCCAAAGCAATACCGTTATTCGACTGAATTGAAATCTAATATTGATAAAATTATAACAAAATTATCATATTTATTTAAGGCGAATCGTGTATCTTTTTTATCTACATATACACATATCTAAAATCAATGATGTAATAGATGAAATACCCATACACAAATCATATACATTTCTGTACCTGATAGCAACTCCATCTATTCAATAGAAATGTTCGCTATACTATAACATTTCATAAGTTAGTTCTGCTAATAATAACAAAATAACTTTTGGCCAAGTATTTTGTTTATATATGTATATTTTATGTAAGAATCAAAGTATTGTATATGACACAATATATTTGAATTATCAAAACTGTATTCGCAGAATGCATGACAGATGACAGTGTATTTCTCATTGCATAGTTATACAAATCATATAATTATGTTTTGAACGTTTATCCAATGATTTAAACAACTTTTAATATCTTTACTCGGACAACTTTATCCAATTAATATATATAATTCGACCTCTTTATATAATAAAGAAGTAACTCTGATCGAGGTCATGATTATAATAAAGAGGTTAAATAATAATTGGATATATACTGAAAGTGAAAAATAAGATGTCCCACTATATAACTAATTCCTTTTGTTAGAATGTTGCATACAAACAGGCCTATACATTGGACTATAGTAACATGTCAACTTCCGCGTGTTTAACAATACTATTATCTTGTTACAACACTGATATACTGGTCAATATTGATAGTTATTTCACGTATCTAATATTTTAAATTCAAAATAACACGTTACAAGTGTCAGTTTTAATTCACACGTCTGACCATTGTTACATGTACTTGTGTTTCTTTCATTTTATTGTTGCTGTTGTTGACTTAATTCACATAATTATTTCATTAGTTCATTTCAATATATTAATTAAGATGCGCTAAAAAGAATTGTTCATATATAATATAGTCTATTTCTTATATAATCTGTCAGATCCACTTAATGTACTCTCAATTTTCCTTCCACGGAATTAATGTAATGAATTAATGTAAAGTAATGAATACAAAATGTTGAAGATCGCAAACTCAGTTTTATCAAGTCTATCCATGAAAGGTAGCGGAAAGTGTTACATCTCGCACATTACCTTGCACCGGCTTTGGCTTAAGTGGTCTTTTGATCGAAAGCTTTCAAAATACATCTTAATGATATAATATATTAGTAATAGAAAGAGCCTATCTGATGTGTAGGAGGGGGCGTAACCCCTGAGTATGAATTAGATTGCCGAGTGTTTTGATGTTCTTTCTCTTTTGCATCATAGTCAAACATAAAAACACGTTCCCTGTTGTCACAATTTTAGGCCCCAGAAAAAAAGTTACCAATGAACGGGAACCTGAATATGATATTTCTATCGCTTTCCGTTTCTCTGCCGTCACAATAAGTTAACCCCAGAAAAAATGAGCCAATCAATGGGCATTCTCTGGAGTGCGGGTAACTAATACCTGCACTCCATTTAACGCACTGTGCATGTATATGTATGTATACGATTTAACTCTGACACATTTTCAACAGAAAGGTCCCCAAACTATGATACAATATAATGATAGAAGAGCATATCAACATACACACAACAACATCGACAGGGAGGAGTAAGGAACGACGACTGAATATGTAAGGTGTCTAATAAAGTAACAACCATGTAACAGGCATGTTTTACATATGACACCATTCACACCAGCACTGGTTAACGCCAGGAAACGTAGTTCAAAAATTTATGAGGCACCATTTCAGGCTTTTCCGAAGCCTCAATGCCGGTGATGAAACATTGTAGTGATCTTTAGAGTCCACTTCTTTTAACTAAACAGTACTTGTGTCAAAAGAAAATACCATACTGTCATCACTCGAGTAGAGCTCGAACTCACGGTCCATGTGTTGCGGGACAGACACGGTAAGTAGTAGTTCACCGCTCCTAATTGATACTTTATTAAAATGTTCCACAAAAGATGAAACGCCATTTACAATGATGGACAAAAATCAATCTATAACTATGTACACGCCTTCTGTTTTCGTGAGCTTTGTCAGTTGAGCTAAAATTCATTGGTAAAGATTGGATAATTCACAACAACTGGAATATGCAAGTAGTCATAATTTAATGTGTACACATTCATGCTTAACATCTTATCTTACATTTACTGTTGTCTAGTACTTTAAATGAACTTTATCATATACTTGTATGATAAAAATATTTGAAAATATCACGTACATATATTATTATGATACTTCCTCAAACACGAGATAATGTAAACCGCGCGGAACTCTTCTTACATTAATGGTTGTGTTCTTTACGGTGCGAGACAAATTCACATTAGAGGACCAAATATAAGAAGTCAGTTCTTGATTTAAATTTAAAACAATCTGAACATTTCCTGAATGTGGTCGCACTAACAACGGTTCCTTAAAAGTAAGTTCATCTTTGTTCACACAGAAGGCGATGTCTTGTCGCCCTGCATTAGATGCGTTTATTTTACAAACTTGTGATGCGAAGTCACCTTTTATTGATACTAGTTTTACAGGACCGGATGTGTTAAGGAGAACCACACATCCTTCATAAGATTGTGTTATAACGGTGTCATCTATATGTAATACTACAGTTCTCCTTCTACATGAAAACTTGCCGATCATATCTGCTTTTTCCAAGGACGAAGATTTCGTCGCAAGGTGGTGATACAGTTTTAACATTTCTTCACTCGTTAGAATTTCTGTTGTAGCCACTTGTTGTGCAAATGTTTCTATAGACATTACGGGAAACCTGATCAAATATATGATATCACCTAGACATGACCTGACATTAACTGGGGTCACCTCTAGGTTTTTCGTCTTACACTGATGTTCGGCCCAAATTTTTGCCGCCGTGAAAATGACAGATTCATCGCTAGCTAGATGATTGCATTCTATAATTTGATAAAGACTATCAGAAGAAAGTGTGCGGAAACCATCTGTCCTAAATACACCGTTAGAATTTTCAACAATATAGTCGAAACATTTTTCCTGAAGGCGTGTTTCACCATAAAATTTCGTCTGCTCAAGGATGGCACACGAAGACTCTACATTAATAGCATCCTCTAGAAACTGTAAACATTTATTAACTAAACCATGTAACGCATATTTCTTAGCAGCATACAAACATTCCATGACATGTTTACCATCTAGAGTGACATCATCAGTATAGATGTACCTGAAAAAAAAATATCGTGTATTAATTCTAGCTATATCTATAAAGACGTAATACAAATTCAATTATTTCCGTTTTATAAATTCTTTTTAAAAACTACTTTCTTTACTGATTAGTTGAGTTCAATTCGATATAAAGGAGCCGTTACGGTGCTCCTGTGTGTATGTTACGCGGACGCCGATTGTCCTTGCTATGCTTAATATAATTATCAATATTTTAAAACAAGCACACACACACACACATACTGACACAACAGCCCGCATATACACAATTGTAATGAAATACAAACATAATATAAAGAACTTTAAGAAAGTTAACAATTTTTCGTATCAACATGTAACTGAAAGTTGCCAAGAAAAATATTCAGCAATTAATAACGGTCATGTTATTTACATAAGGTCTGAATAGATTCAAAGTTTACAACATATTGAGTTTATGTATTGCAAATAAGTAGACCTAGCAACACCTATCGAAATATTCTAAACTCAATAAATTCAATATGCAAAGATTTTTGGATAAAACTGAAAGCAATTGGTTTTTTTATGAGTTTCGTTGAATGTTTAGTTGAATTCTTTATGTTTAGGAATTACACGGCATTTACTTAATCAAAACAAGAAAACTTACCTATAAACATTTAAAGAAACTGAAATTTATAATCATATATTATTGCTGACCTCGGCTTATTGTATTGATTTGTTCTAAGGCAAAACAGAACGTTAAACTTTAATAAAAACGACACTATGGCAAAATATGCAACATATGTTATCCGGAACTTGTCAAATAGATTAGTTAACCTGTTGCGCTCATTTTGAAAGCTATATCAGTTAAGGTTTGTTTGTATCTACGTTATTAGCTGGGAAAACCCAAAATATTTTTGATTCCGGAGTAAGTCTATTATGATGTTCAACATATACCGATCTTATTTATTCCTTGTTCTGTTTTCTTGCAAGTCATGCGTTCCTGGTGAGAGAGCCGTATTTCGTCGATGGCAGTTGTATGTGGCGTTCTTACTGTCGGTGCATTTAACATTTTATTTGTAGATAATAACTTAATATGAAAATATAACTAACCTTAGAAGTAATTTCATTGTAGCCATTTCAATATCTTCTATAATAACCGTGTCACAACTCTCAGCCATTGGTCCATAAAACATCGCTTCAAATACTTCACTGCGCATGCTCAACAACATCTTGTGGGCGGGGATTTTTACAGAGCTTTTTTTAGAAGAGAACCAGACGTCAGACAGACGCTCGGAGAGACAAAAATAGCCCGTATCTTCTTTAATAGTACCGCCATTTTGTCGACTTCTGTTGCGCAGAGAAAATTATAGTATAGTGTTACTACGGTAGTCAAATATATTATTGTTTATAATAAATTAAAGCATATAGCACTACTTTAATTCACATTCACTTTATGAAATGTCAAAGTTTTAAGTAAACATGGTGAACGGAGCATAAAACAGTTTAAAAACATAAAATTAAGAAAACACTATTAAAATATAATCTATCTTTCCTGCAAAATAAATTTTAATTCCATCAATTTCGATTTAATTCTTTATTTTTATAAGTAAAGAACTATTAGGAGAGTAATTCAACAGTGAAATTTGCACGAAAGATAAATGGAATAAAGTAAACATCATCACCGACATACACCCATGGTGTCTATTATTGTCTATTTATAAACTCGTTGTTGGAAAAAGTCACTTTTTATAGATGATATATATATTTGTACCTTTCATTATGTTCAGTTTCAGACGCTGGTAAATCTGTCGATCTATTAGAATCATCCATGCTACTGTTGTACTGTAACAAAAACACAATCATAACGTCATTAAGTGCACAATTATTAAACATTTACATTATATTTTCATGTCTTCTTTTCACATATACATGTACTCATGTATACATGTTACACTTTGTAAAAGATAACCAATGCAGTTTCAGCATTTGTATCTTGTGATGTTCAAACAGAAATCATTATTGGATCCAATCTAATTAATTTAGCCTCGTTTTCATTTCCAGAGTTCGAAACGTCTCTATCAATTCAATATCGCACTCCATTTAACCTCGTTTTCATTTCCTGAGAGTCCAAAATCCATATCAAATCCTAATTGTTATTGAACCAACAAAATGTCAAAAAATGGTGGTGTGAAATAAAGAGGTTATTTAACATGGTTGAGAACAATACTGATTCTACTGGTCTTGTACACAGCTCCAGAACACATATCAGAGTCGACAAGCGCATCGTTCAATACAGGTTTGACAGCTGTGTTCAGAATTCAGTATTGAACTAAATAATGAATAAAAACCTCATATCATCATATCAAATCTTATCAATATAGCCTCGTTTCCATTATCAGAGTACATAACATCTATATTATCAAATACCATTATTACACCCCATATAGTCTCGTTTTCAGTTTTAAAGTCCAAAATGTCTGTATCAAGTGCATATCGTACTCAGTCTAGCATTATTTTCATTTTCAAGGTACAGAAAATAAAATATATCAGTGCCTCATTGTATTTAAAAAGTAACAAAATTATGTCAAAAAGTATAAAGACTGTGAAGTAAATAATCATGTCCTTAAAGATCCTGTATGTTTTGTAATTGAGATTGCATACCACTCTTCATTGAATTATATATGTATGTAATTATGCAAATTTGTCAATTTTCAAACATGGATGAATGTTTAAAATATTATTGCAAATATTTGTACATATTTAAGGTAATCATTAAATTATATGCATTCATTTCTTATTGGAAAAATTGACTTAGAATTTATAGAAAACTAAATTCTAATTACCTCCCTTTATTTACATGAAATATTAAATTCGGTAATTTCTTTATAAATAATGTTTTTTGAAACTTACAATATCGATAAATCTTAATTTGAGCATCATAATTTGTATATAAAACCATAAAAATAATGTGTTACAGGATCTTTAAACAATACTAATTATACATATACGATACTCGTATACAGCGCTTTGTCCAATAGAATTCAGCATTTAACTCAATAATATATAATAACCTCATTATACTATTCTTGTCATACATTGTTCGTTTGTGTGTCTGTTGATGACCTCTTGTGCTTTCGAAGCCTATTTCAAGGTGTCACATTGGATTTTCCATGATTATCTTATTAGCATATCTGCAGGTCTTTCTGATTTCTAAGTTATACCAAATAATGTTTGGACCAGGTAAATGGTAGCATACATTAACCACTGCTCTCCATGCAAGGCACAATCAGATTGAGCATGCGGCATGTTTATTTGTGTCTTGTCGGAACAAAATGATTTTTTGTTCACTCTGGAACACGTCGCGACACGTATGCAATACCTACGTTATGTTTCCAAAACAGTGATTTTAAAAAGCATCTAATGAATCAAATTTATGATATATTTTACTTCAACACATAGCATCCATATATTGTGTAAGGGATGATATGTTTGAAAATAATCCTGTCGAAGTGAAATTAAATGAAAATTTACTTTTCAATTTCAATTTATATTCTACTTTCACTTTTAAATCTTTTAGATAAAATATCTGTAAAATACATCGAATAAATTGCGGAACAATGCTCGTATTTTGAAATAATATAAACGAATTTGCTCTAAGAAGGAAATGTTAGTTAGTTATATGTAAAATATAATCATAATCGAAAGAAAAAAGCCGAGATAAACATAAAACCTTACCTTGATCAACCTTGCCCATCCGGGTTGTACATAATCACTGTTTATAAGGCTGTACAAGTTTAACACTTTTCTACCGACAGCACCGTGGATCTATTTCTGTTAAAACAACAAAAAACAACAACAATTACCAACGAGCATTTTCATTTTCCCCTTACTTGATATTATACAGAGAATTGAATAACTGAATGTTAATCGTAAGGTATACTCACATACATGTATGAACATCATTCCACCTCGTTATATACATGTATACATTGCAAGGTTGACCACTAGGCAACCACTGCAAGAAAGACCATTCTACACATTCAATATCATGCATACCACTGGTTAACCAATGCGAGGCTGAATATTAGCGACTAATGCAAAGCTGACCACAAGGCAATCGCCTGCAAAGCTGACGACTATAAAATCAATTAAAAAAAGACGACTAGGATGTCATTGTAAGATAATTGACTGGGTAACCACTGTGAGGCTGATCAATAGACAATCCACTTCAATGAAAACCGTTAAGTGATCACTGCGAGGATGACCACTAGGTAACCGCTGCGACGCAGAATATAAGGCAACCAATGCAAGGCTGACCACCAGGCAATCACTGCAACGCTGACCACTAGGTAACCACGGCAAGCTAACTACTTGTCACAGAAATACAAGGAAATTCATCAGACAATCACTGCAAAACTGACCACTAGGTAACCACGGCAACGCTAACTACTTGTCACAGAAATACAAGGAAATTCATCAGACAATCACTGCAAAACTGACCACTAGGTAACCACGGCAACGCTAACTACTTGTCACAGAAATACAAGGAAATTCATCAGACAATCACTGCAAAACTGACCACTAGGTAACCACGGCAACGCTAACTACTTGTCACAGAAATACAAGGAAATTCATCAGACAATCACTGCAAGACAGACCACTAGGTAACCACGGCAACGCTAACTACTTGTCACAGAAATACAAGGAAATTCATCAGACAATCACTGCAAGACAGACCACTAGGTAACCACGGCAACGCTAACTACTTGTCACAGAAATACAAGGAAATTCATCAGACAATCACTGCAAGACAGACCACTAGGTAACCACGGCAACGCTAACTACTTGTCACAGAAATACAAGGAAATTCATCAGACAATCACTGCAAAACTGACCACTAGGTAACCACGGCAACGCTAACTACTTGTCACAGAAATACAAGGAAATTCATCAGACAATCACTGCAAGACAGACCACTAGGTAACCACGGCAACGCTAACTACTTGTCACAGAAATACAAGGAAATTCATCAGACAATCACTGCAAAACTGACCACTAGGTAACCACGGCAACGCTAACTACTTGTCACAGAAATACAAGGAAATTCATCAGACAATCACTGCAAAACTGACCACTAGGTAACCACGGCAACGCTAACTACTTGTCACAGAAATACAAGGAAATTCATCAGACAATCACTGCAAGACTGACCACTAGGTAACCACGGCAACGCTAACTACTTGTCACAGAAATACAAGGAAATTCATCAGACAATCACTGCAAGACAGACCACTAGGTTACCACGGCAACGCTAACTACTTGTCACAGAAATACAAGGAAATTCATCAGACAATCACTGCAAGACAGACCACTAGGAAATCTTGTAATGTTGATGACTAAATTACCACTGCAAGGCTGACTACTATGTAACCAAACTGCGAGACTATTAGGCAACCAAGACAAGGCTGACCACAAGGCAATCACTGCAAAACCGACCACTAGGTAACCACTGCAATGCTGACTACTTGTAAATACAAATTATTATGCCTTATAATATACTTAGACTTAATTGTTTAATTGAAGTTTTTCTTTCACATCGACATCCTTTTTTTGATAATACAGTACAAGTTTAAGTACATAAAATTCAGTTACAATGTACTCTGTATATATATAGTTGTTCTCATTTCAGTGATTGCCTAGTGGTCAGCCTGGGAGTGATTGTGTAAAATAGCATTTCTTGGATCGCTTACTTAATGATCTTTCTTGCAGTGGTTGTCAAGACGTGGTAAGCCTTGCATTGGTGTCATAAAAGTCAGCCTCGCAGTAGTTACCTAGTGGTCTGCCTTGTAAAGTATACCTCTTCGTTATCATTTTAGTGATCGCCTAGTGATCAGACTTGTCTAGGTTGCCTTATAGTCTGCCTCGCAGTGGAAACCTTGCGGTCAGCCTAGAATGACCTTTCTTGCAGTGGTAACCTAATGACCAGCCTTGCAGTGATTTCTAGTGGTAAGCCCATTGTAGTGATTACCTAATGGCCAGAGCCTAGTTAGAAAAGAAGCATAATTCCATCTAATCTTTAAACAAATAAATTTCTAATTATCTCCCTTCCATAGTTTGAAATTCGGATTAGATTTGAATATTTGCCTCTTGCATTTCAATCACTTATTTAACCAATATCTTGTTTGATTGAAAACTAATTTAACGTAATTTGAAAAGGTAGTAAAGTTGACGTCACTAATTGATATAACCTTTCTAGCTCATTCTTATATTAATCAACAAGCCAGGTCGATCATTTCAAAACATATAAAAATACTTAAAATAAACTTTCCAAGCAGAGTAATAATTAAATTACATTTGGTGTGCACAAATTACATATCGTAAATTGCCTGAGGGTACTTAATTGAAACCACATAAAAAACTGAATTATTAAATCTCGGGTATTAACGGAGTACATTCATGAAGTAAATCCCCTATATCGATTACCCGACGTTATCTTGTCTGTAATGTTAACGGCGGGTGAGTCATCGAGGACTAAAGGGTTAACTTTGTTTTGGTTTGTTTAGTATCATATATCATATTTTTATGATTTAATTGCAGACTTTACTCTAGATTACCTCAGCTCAAGCCTATCATATAGTCTCATCTGTAAGATCGCAGCCCCACCCAGTCTAATATATTACTATACAATCATAAACACATTTATCAAAACTATTATATTGATAATAATTATATCATAAGAAAAGAGTATTTGTGTTTGGCTAATAGTTCTTTGTTGTAAGATAAGATATGATCTGAACGTCGCCCTGTTTAATACCCGATATACGGGCACCGGTAAACTATAATTACCTCGGAACGATACGGAAGACAATCATTGACGAAGATTACCTATTCAATGAAAACGTTTGACCTTTTCTTAGAGTCAAAAAAGCAAACTGGACCACTTTTCCCGGTCATTAGTCAGTATAAAGAAGGTAAAAGAGTTTTCTTTTAATTACACTAATCAGACATGTTTATGTGATATTCAACAGCGTTTATTTATTCGTAGCACGCGACAGTGAGGTCAAAACGTAATGACATAGTGGAGTGTACGTCAGACGACAACAACTAGAAACCGTATTTACTGAACCTATTAAAATGGTTGATTTGAGACAGTAAATATAGGTGCAAGTACGTCAGGAAAGAAGTAGGCATCGATCGGGTATTCTCAGATGACTCACATATTTACATGTTCAACAATTTATATGTCTTGTATAAAAACAGAAAGATTAACCTAGATTTTACATAAATGTGGCAATTATTATGGCTGGAAAGTAGGCCTATTAAATTTAAATTTAAGTCTTCAATATTGAAATTGTCAATTTAATACAAATAAGTCTTTCAACACTGATGGTTTCTCTTCATATTATTTTAGTTATTCAGCGTTAACGTGTACTGTTTAGCTTAAGGTTGCCACTCTACACTTCACGTTCATCCCATCTATGTCCTTCAAAGACTACGTTTACAATTTCTTAAACTATACTGGCTGAAATACACGTAACATTTAGGACACATACTTTGTGTATCATTACATTGCCAATCTATGGTGAAATTGTCCTCCCATTTATAATAGTCAGGGAGTTCAAAAAGACGCGACTCCGATTCAGTTTGCAGAAGCAAAAAATACACAGTGGTCCGAGACCCAATAATCACATTTTGCCTCTCTACAACAATGTCGGCTACAATATCACTGTCTAGGTTTTAGTAAAGCTCTCTATATGCAAAAATATTACAAATAAACAATTGTTCACCATGATGTTTGCTATTGCTAAATGTTTATAGCCACTTCATCGCCCTCAACCCTCCTCTTTAAAATGACTTGATTTTTCCGAGCATTCATCCAGTCAAAATACACTCGTGTCTTTGACATATATAAATAACAACATGTGACTTTGGGCCCTGTTTTTAAATTTGGTTGGGTCCATATTAACTGTACATCATATAATCCACTCTGTTTAAATGAGGATATTTAAGATATATCGTATTAACTCATTAAAACCACGTATGATAAGTTATATGTTCCTTGTGTAACTAGTTGACTGAAATATCACATTCAAATAGCGGTCCGGGAAATATAACCTGGGGCATATAACCTATCAAAAATCGATATAACCAATAAAATTCACATGTACGTATTTTATCCACCTTACTGTCATACCTTACGCCGTATTCATAACGTATTACCAACAAGTCAATGTGTCCGCATTTGTATAGTTCAAATTAAAAGTAAAACGGTTGTTGTAGATGACTATATCAGTGAACCAGATGTGTTTTTGTCAATATTAACCAGGTCATCATGTCGCCTTGATAAATATATACAAACCAAACACTTCTAGTCGTGTATATACGGGTAGACACTAAAATACACTTTAAAATAGACGCTTGAAGTGAATGCTTATTTGCTTTGCGGTTTTGTAAACTAAATTAATCACCTGGTCGACCTACTTTGATCTTTACGATAAAACACAACACGTTAATTCATTCACGGAAAATACAACACTGAAGTTCATTCATTTACTGATGTAATTAGAAAACTGTATACAAAACTGCCGGTTACGTAATGAATTAATCAACTCTAATATAGGGCCGAGATCGACCGTACCATCTTGATTTCCCAGGTAATATTCAAGATTTTTCTTCAATTGGAAAAACATAAGTACAATACCTCCTATGTGAGAAGCTTGTATGGTACTTAGCGTCACAGAAATACGTTTTCATATTATTGTATACTTATTTGCTAAACTAAAAGGAAATATCCTTTTTTCTCTCTAATACATCCACATTAAACG